TACGCTTATCACCCCTATCGCTGACAAGCTGGATCCTTTCATCACTTTACTATAAAAGCTTTTTCCATTTAGACACAGATTCCCCCCGCACTTAACTCTTCAATAAAATAGCTTCAACCTGTAAATCATCTAAACATCCTTTGTCCTTAAAAGGAGTTCTTTGAGTAAAGTCGGGGCTGATGCTGAACCCTTTTGAGGGAGTGGTTTGGCTGAGAGTAAAGCTCTTGTGTGTTTCAGCCAAGCATGTGGCATTTAAATTGAGCATCAGAGCATTTCAGAGCCTTACGTCACCCTCCCCACACCCACAGTGGTAAAGCTGCTCTGTGTGCAGGAAGTGGGGAGTTTGGTGAGTTGCCATTGTGTTGATCCTATTAATATGTGACATGCAGAGATTATATTTTACATAAAAGTTTGGAAAATTTAAAAAAGAGAATTGAAAACCTAAAAATGTTTATTAGTTTAAATATTTTGATCAAAGCCCTTAACATAAAGTATATATGAGATGTCAACAATAATCTCACATTCATACCTGTATAATAATCCAGGTGTATTAGTCCACTAATTAATTAAGGGGTGGGAAATAGTTCATACTAAAGTCAAGGATTTTTCTGATAATCAAACGTTATTTGTTTCTCCTATGGAGAAGTTGAATTCGCCAATTTTCCTATTTTTGTATTGTTTCTCTGGATCCAGCTTAAAGGTTTATTTGATGCATGTTTGCTACCGTCGTCTTGAAATAACTTAAAGCATCTTTTACACTCCAAATTCTTCTTCATAAAACAAAAGGGTATATATCTCCACCCCCTTTGTTTAGATTAATGCTTTGCACAATCAGCATTTTTAAGGCCACTGCTGATAATAATAGTTTTAATAAGTCTAACAGATTACCAATACTGCCGATTTTTGAGGGGGCAAGTTTTGAAGCTAATATTCATCTTTCATTTTCCTTTGACATGGTAAAATGAACCAACTGTAATAAATGATACACAAGTCGCAATTTAAATAAAAAAATACACATTTCTAAACCAATCAAACAAAACATTAATAATGAAGAGCAAACAGAGGGAGCAGCAATCAATGTGATTTCAGGATCAGAATCAGAAATACTTTAATAATCCCAGAGGGAAATTACTTTTAACTCCAGTTACAGTTTTATACAATATATACACACATCCAACTATACAATATAATAAAGATAAAAAAATAAGAATAAAAAGAGATAAAGAGATAAAATATATACACAGATTTACATGATTTCAAGGCATGGCTGCTGAATGCACTAGTGAATCGGAGGGGGCATGCATGTATTTGGCTGCTGCAGATACAAAAGAAAAAACAAAACAAAAAAGCGCTAAGGTGGACCCGAAATATGGGCAGGCTGATATGTCTGTATAACTTTATTTCGCAAAGGTAGAAATGTCAGATGTGTTTAGTGCCTGACCCATAGCTGCTGTAGTATTACAGTAGATTCTCTTAAAGATAGATTAAAGATATCTGCATTTTTTCAGAGTTACAGTACCATGGGCTTCTTGGCTGCTTATTATGCTCTGTTGAAAAAACGGATAAAATGAGACTGTAAACAGAAAGTATATTGGCAGTCAAGTGAATGAGTGAGTGCTACTTAAATGTTGTTATAGTTTAAAACATGTAGAAATGCAGCACTACAGTATGTTCATCCAATGAATTAACACCACTTCTATTTTCAGGCAAGTAGTGTGAAGTGTATCATAAAATAACAAAACTGCTGGAGCATGCAGATTTTCTTAATGCTGTTGCAGAGAAAAATGCAGCTTAAATGAAAGCCTGCTGTTTCTCCCTGAACTTAGTTGAATGAAGTCCTCTGTGTTGAAGTGCTGCAAGAAACCTCAGTTAAATGCATTGAGAAATGTGACAAAACATGGGATGTTTACTTAATTTATTTCAGGGTTCAGATACAAAATTAATCTGTAAATTGTTTTCATATTAAAAAGCAACCAACCATTAAGAGAATGAATGATGTATTGACACTCCCAGTGGAGCATGTGTTTTAGAAGCATTCAACACAGTAAATGCCTGTTAACCCTTGAATAGCCCTGCTCTTGCTGAACCTCACCAGCCTGTGAGGAGCAGTTGTTGGGGTTCCTTTCATAAAGTCATTTGTAGCTGCCAGAAAACACTGGCCAGTTTCTCCATCTCGGCTGCAGCTCAGGAACTCCTCTGTTCCATAAATGCAGGATCAGGAGGAGGGGAAATTACCCTAGCAGAGGTGTAATTCTGGGTGGGGTAATTGGCAACACCGATCAAGGGATATTAAAAGCTCAGGACAAAAGTTACCAAACAGACCCGGTACTTTAAATGCACATGGTTAATCCTGAGAGAGCCCCAGTTTACCTGTAGTATTGCTTCCTGTTTGAAACATGAAAATAATTTATAATGTTTACATTCATTGATTATCTGTCAAATTCTGATTATGTGGATAAAAAATTAGATTAGATTTTCTGTTCTATTATTAGCCATTTTGTCCACTGTGTCCCCTGTGGCATCTATGAGATAAGCAGGGGGACTGAAGTGGTCCTCTCCCCGGAGGTCAGTTCAGTCAGAGGACAAAGGACAAGGGCCACTTCAAGCATCCTGTTTTAATCACCGCTGAGGCTGAAGGCGTTGCCAGCATTTAACACAGTGTACCACCACTAAATAACTGTGTCATGTTACAGAGAGATGTAGCCGACATACGGCTGGAACAGCAGCGCTTCTGTGCTTTCAAATGAGGCGTGAAGTTGTGACAGATGGACCGTGAACGTCTCATGTCTCAATCAGTCCTTCATCCTAGAATTGTTTGTGGATTCCGTTCTCAAGTAATATGATTTTTGTATTTTTCTCCATAATAGTTGCTAACAGTGGCAACCTGGGACTAATTACTTGATTAATTTTGTATATATTGATTATTTAATTGTAAAACTCAAAGTACAACTTTGCAAAGTAACTATTAGTTACAGACTTAAAAACTTTCATATCTGTTGTAAATAACTTAGAGCCATGAAAAGAAACTCCAAGGATAAGATAGTCAGAGTTATAACAAGCTTATAGACTTAGAGACTTAAACTTAATTGTCATCTTGCATACACGAGATTTTTGCAAGAGATGAAATTTTGATGCACACAGCTTTCATCAGTGAATGAGCAGCTTGCAACAGTGAAATGAACATTACCATTTATAAAGTGCAGCAGTGTTTAGAATGTAGACAGTGTAGGAGAAAAGAAAAAACAGTTAGTCATTGGTGCAAAGGGAATTGATGTGGAAAGGTTTAGTGTAGTGCAAAATAAAAAAAATAAATATGGTGCAAAATGCAGTAGAACATTCAGTTGTGTTCTACTTAAATGGATTATGAAAAAAATATGCTTTTTTAGAGATTAGAGTTTCAACAGTTCAGCAGTCAGACATGGCAACGGGGGAAAAGCTGCTGCAGAACCCGCTGGCCCTGCAGCGGATGCTGCAAAGCCTCTTCCCAGAGGGCAGCAGGGAGAAAGGTCCATGGTGGGGTTGTGAGGGGTCGCTGATGATATTATTGCACCGGACATGCAGCAAAGGAATGAAATGTCTTTAATGGGTGAAAGAGGAGCCCCGATGAACCCGTCTGCCGTCCTCACAGCAGGGAGGTATTGCATTTTCAATATCTATGACATATATTACAGTCAGAAAGGACAGCTTAGGTGCAAAGCTTGGTAACATATAATATCTTAATTTAAATTACCTTATTTAAATTACCCCTTGCAATCACTCAGATTGGACAAATTCCAGCAGTTTCTCATGAGATGTTGTTGGTGTAAACCTACCAGGGCTGGTCTTTAATATCTTTTTTTAAACAGGTTTTGGATTGCTGAAGTCAAACCATTTGAAGAGTAAAAAAAAAACATGGATAGAGCTCAACTAATAGCTATGCAGTAATCAAGGCTGTGTCCTTATCTGCGTTTGGCACCATTTCCCAAATGAACTTCAAATAATCAGAAATTTGTCTGTTCATGTCCTGCGCTAACATTGGCTCCTTCCTGTCATAACGCTCCCAGTGTTGATGGACTCGGTGTGTTTGACACCAGTAATGTGCCCATGTGCTTAAAGCCCAGACTGACCCTGTACCTAACAGAGGGCAGAGGATGGGTGGGTGGTCAGTGTGATCCACTGTGATAAAGGACAAAAAAAAAGAGTAGGTGATAAAGAACGGCTGGCTTTGATGGCAAGAGGAAGACAAAAGGAAGAGCTTTTTATTGACATTGAGGGCTTGGTTCTGTGCTGCTGGACATTGGTGAGGCTCAGAGACACAGGTTAGGGTTAGTGTTTTCCCTGCAACTTTTAGATAGCCATTTCAAAGCACTGTCTATCTACCTCCTTTCAAAGAGCGGAGTGTTGATTTGATAGAAGCAGCAGAATAAAATCCCTTATCACCATCAGCTTTTCCCATGTGTGTCATCCAGCTCTGTCATCTATTGAAGATTAAAGATCTGATCACATTAAGCTGCCTGTTTCATTCTGTCTGCATTATTTCCAAACCCAGCGCCAAATCAAACAATCATTGTTGAGGTCTCAGTCGGAGCAGCCAAAGTTAAGCGATATCTCCCAGAGGCAGTGCCAGCAGGTTTAAAAAAAGATCAACTTTGCTTGGAACTCGCAGAGGTTCTGCTTTTATTAAGTTCAAAAAGTAAAACGCAAAAAAAAATGCAAATAAAAAAAAAGGGGGCCACTGTTGAGAGAGAAGTGTCACTCATCCGTTTAAATAGTTTCACATGATCCGCGTTGAGCCTCGTGAGATATTATCACATCATATCCAGACTGTGTGATCTTCTAAAAATCTGCTGTGTTCTGTTTTTGCACCACATGTTAATTTGAAAAATACATTAAATTACTTTAATCACCAAGATGACTGTTACTTCTCTGAGGTTAAATGCAGCTTTTGCAGTTTTTCTGTCTGTTTTGTCCAAAATGGGACAGATTCTTTGCAATCATCTCGTTGTTTGTGTTCTCTGCAGAAAGAAGTGAAGGATGTATTCACAGCTATTACATTCGAGGTGGCGTACAGCCTGGGGAAACATGTGATGACGGGACATCAGCAGCGGGAGCTGCCTGCGCTCACCCCCGTGCTGAGATGGAGGAAAGGAAACAAGATTGCTGTCAAGAATGAGGTACAGCAGTTTAGCATAATTGACAGCAAGGATCATATAGTGTGAAAGATAAGTTTAAAGGTATTGGTCACACAGATGGTACGATTAAGGTAAATTATTGTGTCTCATACTCACGATTTATCAGTAAGATGAGCCGTCAGTTTGCTTAATCTTCACAATTATTGGTGCGCCTGGTAAAAATGTAAAAAAAGAAAAAAAAAAAACAGGAATATATTTTTTTATTGCTGTAGAATATTCCCCAAGTTAAAATAATCTCCAAAGTCCAAACTTTATTTGTGTACTAAGGACCTACTGTATGCTAAGAAATAACTGTTTTACTAAAACCCAGAGTAGCTGTTTTTTTTTCTCAAATCAGTTTTTAAATTTACATTTCCAAATGTTTTTCAAAATATATTAAAATGTATATTAGTGATCCATGACTGTTGAGGATCTGTGATGTTTTGGGCCAGTTCCACTCCCATGAGCCCTGAGAATCTTTTGCATTTCCTTACTAACTCTTTGAAATACAAGGGCATACTAAAAACGAATATTATGACTTCTAAAATAACTACTAATGGCTCATAACTTAGCCCATTCAACAGGATTAAAACCATATGTCCAAATCTAAAGAGAAATAATTCATCCTATAAAAGCTCCCCTTTTCCATCTCACTCTACAAATATATTGAAATCATGTGGGGTGAGATGAGGAGAAAAAAAATCATAAGAGAGAAACCAGGACTCTAGATGATCTAGAAGTTAGGTTGAGACATATGATCATGAAGCCTTTCTGTATTATGTAGAATAAGTGGTGTCTTACTGGAGGCGTGGGCTGTAGAAATCAATCATTGAGGGATCCCAATAAGAAGGGAACCACCTTCATCATTTGTCAGTGGAGGATTTTTCCCACTGCATGATTTTTTCAAATTAAGGGCCTCTATTTCTAGAATGAGATTCTACTATAAGAGCCATTTATTTTCAAGCTTTTTGCACAATGACCAGGGGGTGTCGATAAGCGTGGAGGACACTGCACCTTTAAGAGAACTCTTTTCTCCTCTGACCTGACTACTACTCTTTTCTAATTCTTTTTAAAAGAATGTATTTTCAGGCATTTTGTTTTGCTTGTTTTTAATCTGGCCATCATAAGTTTTGTTTGCTTGTTGTTTTGTTCTACTGCTCAAGTCTTTGAAGACCCCCAAATAAATATCATTCATTCTCTCACCCCCTGGACTCAGCAGTAGCTTCATTGCAGTTATTGTTCCCTGTAGGCATGTGGAGAATAAGTCAACCACAGTTTAGAATTATATATATATTTTTTTTATTTACTTATCATTGTTTTTCTTCAAGGTTTTTATCTGAGTTGCATCTTGAATGACCGATTTATTTTCTTTCAAATCATCCCTAGGCTTTCCCAAATCTGCTGCTCCACTGTTTTTTGTTTTTGTTTTTTTTTGCAATAAAATGATAAAAGATTTACCCTTTAAGTATATTCTCATTCCATTTATCAGAAATAAACTCAACAAAAGGAAACTAAACCCATTGGTTTTATTTTCCTCTTGTGATTTAACCTCATAGCACTTACCCAGCTGGGACTAAATCAAACCAAGGAAACAGATTAGCTTTCTTGGAATATAATATTTTGAATGGCTCCAACAACAGCACAACACTGCCCCCTGCCTGAGCACTGAGTCTTGTGTATTGTGCATGAACAGCGTGAGGTCATTTAAACTCTTACTTTGCATTTCCTCTTCAGACCTGGTTTGAGAAGAACTGCCTGTCAGATGACTGTGCTGCAGACCTGAGGCTTCATGGGAGGCTCCTGCTGTCCGGGTAAAAAAGTCTCTACATTATAGTTGAGCTTCACTCTGTGGGTCTCCTTTTTCAGTTCAGAGACACCAAACTGATGTAATAAGCCTTGTGGGTGTGGGCAGGGGAACCATGACGCATGCCTGGAAAATATCCATATGTTTTCCGTAGACAGGGAGGTTCCTTTTTTAGATTTTTGAATCTTTCTGTGTTTCATGAAAAACCTGTTTCTATTTGTCCTGTTATTCCAAAGTTTTTACACACAATTCATATGGTCTTGACTTAAAATAGAGTAAAAAATCCTCCTTTGAAATATATCCCATACCTTTAAAGTCAAAATCAGCAACATACAGTAAAACAATAACCAGCTATAATGATTGACATAAATACAGGATAACCAATAAAATCCAAAACAACCTGCCTAACTAGAGCTAACTGCATTTACTCTAACTCTGTTAAATGTTTCTTGATGATTGATTATTTTCTGTGCTGTTTTCTTTAAAATCCATAACAGGCTCTATATCAGACCACATTTGGCTCTTGGCGCAGTCCGAAACGTCTCCTTAAACGTGACTATCTCCAACGCTGGAGATGATGCCTACGACACCAACATCTACTTCAACTTCTCCAGGGAAGTTTACTACATCAACTTCTGGCAGAAGGTCAGTAGCACTTTGAGTATTTTACTGTTTATTTACAGTTTAGCATGTATGTTCAGTAAACATCAATTTGTTGTATGGTGCCTTGCAAATGTATTCAAGTCTATTATATATATTTCATAAAAAGTAGTGCATAAATGTGAAGTGGGAAAAAATTGGTTTTCTATGGGTTTTGTTTTTGGATTGTGGATTGCCTCTGTATTACAGTAAGCCACACAGGTTCAATACTTAGTGGGACTTCTGCTGTAATACCAGCAGGCAAAGCACTTCTTTACCAGCTTTGCAAATCTTGAGTACAGATATGTTTGCCTTTTCTTCCTTGCCAGATTGTATAGACCGTCTGTCTTTAAATCCTGAAATTAAAAAAGATCTGGACTTAGATTTGGTCATTCTAACACATGCATATAACATTTCATTTTAGTGCTGGCTTTATATTTAGATCCATGTTTCTGTTCAAAAATTAAACTTTGCCTCAGTCTCAAATCTACTGCACCTTCCAGAGGTTTTCATGCTGTGTGTTGCTCTATATTTTTATCCTTCCATCTTACTGTCCATTGTTATCAGCAAAAGGACCTTCTGCTGACCAAAGGCCCATAGCATAATACTGCCGCCACCTGTATTCAGTAGCTGTAACTGAAACAAGAGCTTACCAAATGCTCCTTTTTTACTGAATGTATAATAACTGGCACTAAGGGAATGCACATGCTATCTTGGTAAAAGAAACCACCAATGGTATTAAAATATGAAATGTATAAAGCATAGGTATAACCGAGAGGAAGATTAGCATGAGGTTGAATACAGAGGTAAATTAAGCAAGAAGTCCAGTTAAGAACACAGCGATCCTCTAGTCTATAACCACAGTTCCACCATATTTACATCATCAGTAGCCGTTCAGATTCAATATGCATCTAATCATCAGATGAAATGGTGCATAAAGCATGAAGATAATATATCACACTCACCAGAGAGTCTGATTATTCATAAACAAAATCCATCCTTCTGTCTTTGTGCAGGAAGACTATTTTTAGGCTCCAGTGGCCTTTATTTTGTTATTTTTGAAAGTATGTAGACAGGAAAGTGGGTTATCAAGAGAGGGGAGTGACATTCTGCAAAGGTCAGCAGGCCCTGCGACAGCCGGTACATGGGTTGTGCACTCTAACTCCACTCCATCTTAGCATTTCCATTTAGTATTAGACATTTAGGCCAGAAAAACTTTTAAAAATCTAAAATGCAGATTGTTGCATGCTTTAACTTGGCTGTAAACATTATGGTCAAACAGACTAATCAGAGGACAGAAAATGCTGACATGGGGCGGGCCCGCTAGCTGGTCCTGTTGAGCAATTCTGAAATCTGATTGATTGATATTCCCCACTAATACTGGTAACATCAGCCAGCACTGCTGATTCTGAAGGCCGTGGTCAGATCTGTAATTGAAGCAGCATAGCCAAGAGAAATGGTACAGAAGTAAGAGAAAGGATTGTTTGGAATAAAGGAATACAGTTGGATAGAAGAAAATGAAAGTTTAGGTTATGACTGTAGGTTAGTGTTCCTGATTGATTTTAGTCCAGCAGTGAAGGCTTTGAAGGTCCTGACAGCCAGAATTGGATAACTCCGAGAAATTACATTTACAAAGCACTTTCTTCCATGTTTGTCTTGTAAACATTTTATTGAGTTTTCTCATTAATACTGGACTTGATGGGTTATCATATTAAAGGAGGCTACCTGCAGTTAACTTAGATTTTTATTGTTAAAAGAAAGAAGTATACATTATTTTATTTTACTTCACAGTTTTGCAGAGTTGTTACTTGCATCAATTCCCAAGGGAAACAAACGAGCTATGCATTATTTTAAATGCAGCATCTCTGCAAAGATAATTTAGGATTAGAGGAGTGCATTCTGAATAATGAGGCCCAATAAGGTGATGTTATTTTGTGAGGACCTAGGATCTAATTCCCCAGAGCTGCATTGGTAGACATGAAGATGAAAGGACTAGAAGTAGGGCAGCTGCAGCAGGGCAGCAACAGCTGTCACATCTCAGAGGGCAGCCTCTTTAACCAACCTGCTATACACTTACCTCTGTTACTCATTCATCACAGACGTCTCAAGTCAACAATACATGAGTTACACTCGTGAGAACATTGCAGAACAGATCTAACCTATGTTCCCACAAGTTACCACATTATTTATGTCTAAAAATGTGTTTAAGAGCTTTTTCTTGGGTAGAATTGCACACGGGTGATTGAAAATGTTGTTTTTATACTTTAACCTCTAATAGTTTAAGCATACTGACTGTTTAAGATATATCTGCCCACGTCCACCCAACAGTAGCTGAGTCGATGGATTTAACAGTATCCACCTCTGCCTTTGCATGCATCTGTGTGCTCACTCATAGCAAACACACGCCAGGATCCACTCACAACCCAGAGATAGGGCAGGTCAGATGGCACGCTTTGTCTGCCTCCATCAGGAAGGCTTTTCCTTTTTAATAATGGACCCCGCGTTTATCCTTCAGCTGTTTTTTTGCTAGTGCAATGGACACCATCGCCTCCACAAACCACACAGCCTGAGGTGGAGTTTTAAGACTCCAACAAAGGTGAAATTGAATTTAAATAGAATACACACTGCAGGGAAATATAAAAAAAAACAGTGAGTGTGTTTCAGTTTCACAGCAGATCTAATGAATCCATCTGACATTTGGAGTCAGTTTACTAGGCAGCCTCGGAGCCTCGTTTTGCTTTGGAAGATGATAATTCAGGGTGGTCTGCTGCACAAAGGAAACAGGAAGTGAACAGTAGGAAGGGATTACAAAGAGGCCACACAGCAGATTTATTACTATATGCTTTAAGCAGTATAGTAATTACCACTTAACCAGTCTGAGGTGATGCTGTGACCCCCTCTTCCTGAGCCTTTTTCTCAACTCAGCAATGAACCAGTTAGACACGTGTCCCCCTTAAATTTACAGTATGGATCAGTTGAGTTAATTTTCTGATGTCCCTGAGAAATGGTTTGAGAAACAGCACAGTACCTCAACCTACTCATCTTGTTCCTTCAAATATGAGTTTATTTTTCTTTAGATCTTTTATGAATAATAGTTTATTTTTGTCCTTTTATAAAGAAGACCAGATGTTTTGTGCCACAAGGTTATCTTCCATATCCCTTTTCTTAATTGGCAGAGCCGAAACTGAAAAATCTAACTTCTTCTCAATTGCATCAAAACCTGAACACACCCAGGAAGCATTCAATATTCCTTTGGAGACTACTTCAAGAAGTGACAGGACTAGATGTTTTAGAAAAGCCGCTGTATTTCCTTGTCTTTATTCCCACATTTGTCATAGCACCAGCATACATGGTGAGTTAGGAAACGGTAAGACAGCAGTGTCATTTCAGCACTGTTTTGACATTTTGAGCATAATGACGCTGTGGTTAAACGATTAGAGGTTTGGAAGGTGATTGAGGAAAGTGGAAGCCAAGGAATATTTAAATCATTGATTTTCTTGGCTAAATTATGTGATATTTTTCATAGTTAAGCCGATGAAAACATTAATCTGCATACCTACAACGAATAGTTTTAAGTGGGTGATGACTCTGGCTTGGACTGGGCCAACCTAAGCAAAGCCAAATGTCAAAATACTTTGATCAATGGAGACTTTAGAACACAGGCAAATCATGGAGATAAACAGGCCTCCCCTGAATTGTCCTTCACACTAACATCCCACTGTAAAAGATGCCCCATGCATACTCTGGAGCAGCGTAAACAGAGCTGGTGATGTTTAGTAGCCCTGCCTCTTCAGTCCCAACCCTCAGTGAGAAAGAGCAGAAAAGGAAAGTAAAGAAGTGCTGAATAAACAGAGTTTGTCTGCTCTGTCACTGCCGAGTCACAGTGTGCCACTTGTCAACACAATCTGCTTTCTGTCAGGACTTTGCCAGGTGGATAATGGGTAAATAGGTTGACTTTCCTTATCTCAATCCTGCCCATCACCATGGGATCAGCACTGTTTCCACAGCAGCATGCAGGGTTACAGGAAATACAGGAAATTCCATCATTGCCAGCTAGCCTTGGAGACCTCCGACCCTCCACTGGCCTCTGTCGGCACAGCTCACTGTGATCTCCGTAAAGTAGAGCGCTACTTACAGTATTAAAGATGACTCAATAAATTGTGTATGGGTGGGTAGTGGGAATCTGCTGAACAGGGGGTAGGTGGATGATAAATCAACAGGAAGTCAACAGAGACTATCATCACCTCTTGCACCAACTTCTTACTGGATATTTCAAAAGTGCTGCCTCCCTTTTTTTCTTTTTTTACCCTCTGCAGTTGTGAGGCATCTCTGCTCCCAGAGAATGAGCTCAGCTGAAAGCCTCTCACTGAACTCTCACTAAAAGAATTCGTACTCCTCATGGGGTCAAGCCCTCACTGTTTATACAGCGCAGCCTGCAAAGCTCTATGTTGTTTAGACAAGCTTCCAAACACACAGTCTGGCCGTTGTCCAATTACCCACCCGCTAAGATGTGTGCCATCATAGCTTTGTACATTCTTTGTTTAAACCCGATTTAGAGCTCTACAAAAAAACTCAAACCTATTCCCTTAGTTGAAAACACAAATTTCTCTGTTCATACTGTAAATATTTAGAGGAATTTGCGCCTGAGTGTTTTCTATTGAAATTTTTTTTTTGTCTGCCTTTCAAAGCCGGCGTGATTTTTATCCCTGACCTTATGAGAACTGATCGCTTTTTGTTGTAGTCTGCCTCTTTTCTCCTGGTTCTTCCTTTTTCTTGTCATTCATCTAGATGCATGTCACCCTCGCTGTCTCCACTTTGTCTGCTCTCATCAACTCTCTGTCTGTCTTTCTCTTTGCAGGAAGATAAGGGTATTTCCTGTGGACTTGTCGATCTAGACTTCCTCAAATGCAGTGTGGGATTTCCCTTTATGAGAGCTCAAACAAAGGTAGTCGGATCTTCTTAATTAAGAATTAATGGCATTTTTTGTTGAGGAAGTGTGATTTATTTTAGGAAATCTGCTCATTATTGTTCCGACTCTTCTCTTTACAGTACCATTTTGCAGTCATCTTTGACACAAGTCAGGTTTCAGGAGGAAATGACACATTGCAGTTCTTAGTTCAAGCAAAAAGGTATGTCTAAACTAAACATAATTTCCAGCGTTAGTAAAAATTTCTAATTGAAGCCTTCTTTCTCTGAAATGCTTAACCACTTGGTTGATTATTACATTTTTTTTTACCTCATACACTTTTTCTCTGTGCCCTACATTACAGTCAGAAATGTATTTCATTCAGGATTTTGAGTGATAGTGCAGATGATGCAAAGTTGGAAAGATTGAAAAAAAGGAAGCATTTTTAGGCAAATAAACATTAGAAAAGATAATAATATGAAGGTGTTTGGCCAACTTTTGGTCCAATACCCTAAAATAAAATCCAATACTGAGTTCAAAAGTCACCTACATAGAAAATAAAGTCCAGCTGTATGTAATTTGACCTCTGTAAAAACACAGTTTTGTGAGGATAGCAGGTTTGTTAGATAATATTAGTAAAGAAATAACACAATGAAGAACAAGAAAAACACATGGCTGTCCTCCTAAAATGAAAAAGAGCATTAATCAAAGAGGCAGAGCTTTGTGGCAATGATTGAGTAGCCACACTGGGCTTAAGTGGTGGAATCTGCTGGCAGGACAGAAGGAAGTTGGAAGAAGTCCCATTTTTGTTTGTCTGAAGCCATTTAAAGGGGCTAAGTAAGCTTGTGGAAGCTCATTGCCTTTGAGTCAATGAGTCGATGCGATCAACTGGTTTTGCTGAGATAGAAAACTTTGAATCAATTTGATCTGGTGAACTGTAAAGTGCCTGGAGATGACATGTGTTGTGAATTGGCGCTATAGAAATAAACTGAATTGAATTGAATCGAACTGAATATCACACAGCATGCATGGAAGCATATAGTAGTGGCAGCATGAAGGTGTGGGGAAGAGTTGATGCTAAGATAACATATGAATTTGAAGAAAACCTGTTAATATCCGCAAAAGCTTTGAGGCTGGGGTTGAGGTTAACCATCTAGCTCAGTGGTTCTCAATCCTGGTCTTCAAGAACCTCTTCTCTGTATGTTATTACATAGACTCTTCCCCAGCCATCAAGTACTGCAGATGGCTGATTCATTTAATTGAGGTGTGTGGTAACAAGGAGACACTTAAAACAGGCATGGCAGTGGTACTTGAGAGAACTTGAGGGACAGGACTGAGAACCGCAGCTGATGAACAAAAAATCCCTCAGAATTAGGGCTGCATTATATTGCAATACCAAAATCAGTGGTGATATATGTCTATTATCTTTAGATGATACCTAATTTGTATGTGAGAATGACCCATTCAGTTTCTTATAACTCAACTTCACTTGCTCTTCTGTATAACATAGTTTTAGACAGTAACTCTAAATCCAGTTTATATGAATTTGAAATATTGTATAAAGAACAAAAATCTAGAAATCTATATCCTTGGATCTGCAAAGCTGGCATAGAGATACACCAAATGACTCGCAACACAAGAGTATGTAAACTGTTGGGCTGGATATCTATGCACACTTAAACCCTGTAGTTTTTTCAAAATAAAATACAAAACTGTGGTGTTTTCCTTCCACATTAGAATTATACCCTGCTTTATATTTATTAAGTATTTCACATAAATAAAGCAGAAGCTCTTGGTATTCAAAAGTATGAAAAGTCTGTGATTTAAGGAAACCTTTGCAACAGTTGAGACTCTGACTGCAATTTTTTTACTCTGCTTTTTTTTTAGTGCCAACCCTGAGCACAAACTTTCCGACAACAGCTTAGACCTGTCCATCCCTCTGATCCATGAGACCGACACCACCATTACTGGGTAAGGAACGACAGGATTAGCCATGATGCTACAGTTACCAGTTTACAGATTTAAAGCTGTCTAACAGACATCTCAGTCACATGTGGTCTGGTTCTCCATCTGTGGCCTCGCAGGAAGAGAGGGAGTGTTTTTCTCCCTGTGGAGGATATCAGCTCCAAAAGAATTATCTTTGATACTTTATCATAGCTCTACTTCACAGAGGAAAGAGAGAGATGTTAATTGATATTTGTCAGAGCTTTAACATCTGATAAGGCTGCTGTGGTTAATGATGGAAGCATGAGACTAAATCTGGACTCATTTTTCAGTTGCTAAAGAAAACCCCTCTAAACACTGCAGAAAAAGGGGAGAGCAGGGATTTGTTTTAGTTCTTTAAATAGGCTTTATACATAGTCTGGAAACATCCAAGGTATCCAAATGTTTAATGAACTATTTTCTTGAGAAAAAATGTATAAAAAGAATAAGTCTGACCACCAAACAAATATCTACCAAACCGAAGTGTGAACTTTGCATGTGTGACTTGTTCATAAAACTTTTGTATGATGGATCACTGGTTGTGTTGCAGTGTGGTGACCCCAGGCTCCTTTGTATATGGAAACTCCATAGATGCCTCCCGTTTCGTCCAGTTGGATGACATGACGTGCAACTTTCAGCTTCTCAATTTGACCTTCCAGGTACTTGAAGTGTAGAGAATGTATAGTTTCTATTTTAAAAATCTTCCCTTGTGTATAATCCTCTCACTTTATTTTCTTTATGTCTCTGTGCAATATGGTTCCAGGCCATAAACAAGGGGCCCAGTAGGCTGCCAGGCTCTACTGTGGACATCAGAATACCCAACAGACTTGTTGCTAAAGGACCAGACATGTTCCACGTGCTGGAAACCCAAGTGGGTACCAACATCTAATCATATTTTATATATTTTGTATGTGTGTATGTATTTATGTATCTTATTATTTTTATGTATTTACTTAATTAAAATATTAATTTACAGAAATTAATATTTTATGTTAATTTTTCCTTGAGAGAGTAACAGGTTTACCTTTTTCTTCCTTGACCCATTTCTTTAAACTATGCACGGTGGGATCATGAGCTTGAAACCAAAATGTTGGTGGTGCTGCTGAGCCCACCTTTCCATTTTGTCACACTATATTTTTCATTTAGATAGAGTAACACAATCCTCCCACTGCGTTAAGGTGTTTGCCTAACCCTTGAATAGCTTCTTTAATATATAGCTAGATCATGGAGGAGCTCAAGCTGTTAATTGTATTTACTGTGCATGTGTAGACGGTGGTGGTATATCCCACCTCCTCATCTCCATCTGGAATCACTTTCATGGGATCAGCCAGCTTGAAAGGATCAGGGACCTGCAGAGTGGGCTACTGCTTCGTACCACCCCAAGTCAGGAACCATATCTTATAGGCTTAAACATTCCAGCTCCCAACTCACTGCACAGTCACACATTTATGTTTTATAGCTTATATCTTTACATATAATCTGTTGATAGAGATTATTTAAAGTTCTATGAATGTTACTCCATTATTTTTGGTTTGTTTTATATAGTGGACAAGGGGTGCAGATACACCACAAATTCATAAATACCCAACAAATACAAAGAGAACTGCAAAGTCAAATATAACACATAACAAAAAAAATATTAACACACAAAATACATGCAGTAAATGGCTGCAATCACGGAAAAAAGAAAGCAGCAAAGTGCAAACATGTTGCAAACACAGAAAATATGGCAATCAAGCACACAAAACATATGCAAATGAAATATTCTGCAAATACATGAACAAGCTGCAAACACATAAATGATGCTAACACACAAAAGACATGCAAAGGGAATTGCTACAGTAACAAAACAGCTGTGATTTAAAAGGTACGGGAAGAAAGTGTAACACAATAGAATCAGTCCAGACCAGACCACTAGCGGGAGAAAATCATCAACTCACATGGGACCAGATCATGGATATTACTTCAAGTTAATGTCCTTAGATTGGGCCCTTAGTAAAAATGTACGCAGGAGGACATTTGCAGAAAAGAAAGAAAAGGCACGTTTTCCTTTTAATCTTTCTTAACCAATAATCTCTCTAAACATCCCATTTATGTCTTTACTAAGGTTCTTGTCCCTTAATAAGTTGATAAACATCTTTACCTAGTGGTCTGGAGCACTTCTGCTACGCAAAGCTGATTTTGAGCTTTTTCTTAATGTGAAGTTGTTTTTGCCTCTTTCCATATTTTTCCTTGCAGTGTTTTTTGTTTTTGTGCATGAGCATCATGTATGTATTTAATGAGGGTTTTGTGTTTTTAGTGCGTTTGCCCTTTGCTGCTCTCTATTTTTTATGGTTGCAGTATGGCTCCTTTGCAGCATTCTTCCATTACATTCATTTTGTCTGATAGTGTACTTATTGTTTGCAGTACTTTGTGTATTTGCACTGCATTTGCACCGATCGATCACCATTTTTCTTTATGCTCCTATAGCCCTAATTTTTTAATATTGGCTTAAGTTAGTGTCACCATTAAAGCAGAATATGAATCTATGCTTGAGCCCATGTCAGTACAGAGACACAGCCATGCTCAGAAATAGCAGGGTGAATAATAAGGAAGTCTGGGAGAGAATTTCACCTCCATAGCTTCAGATGAGTCACAGGAGAGTGTGGATGGGAAAAGGCTTCCTGGAGGTTGTCCAGTAAAACATACTTCTAAATCACACCATATGGGATCTCTGTGTAGGAGGAGTGCCAGTTTATTGCATAGGAGAACTTCCTGTAAGCCCTTGAGACTCAATAAACAGTAGAATTTGTCCTTAATGAAGACAGAGGTCCTGTGTTGTAATTTTTTGGATTAAATTCACATCCTAAACAATATACATGCATTGACTTAGCTGGGTCATTGAAGCATATAGTGCATCTGGGGTAGTGCTGTCGAAGATTTAAAGCATTTTTCCTTCTCAGCATATGAAAGGGTGTTTAAACACTTTACAAAAAAATGAGAAAAATGACCCAAGCACAGGATTCTGTAACCCGTCTTTTGCAGATTTAAATTGATATCCTTCAGCCAGCAGGCAGTTCTGGCTGAAGTAGAGGAAATCTCACCTCCTGATATTTATCTTCTTGCTTTGGCATTTCAGCATCTTGCCCCTGTGCCTTAGAGTACTTCTGTTGTTTCAGGGTCTATTGGCATTTATTAAAATTTTCTTTAGTAATAACTGCACATAATGATCAAAAGTTAAACGGCACACTTAAATTTGCAAAATATTTGTACTTTTTTGTTTTACATTCATGTAAAAGATGATTGTAGAAGAAGAATGCTGTAAGACAGGAGTCTAAGATAGGAGTTTTTCTTGGATATTTGGACCTATGACTAGTTAAAATTTATTTCAACAATCAAACAATGAAAACTAAATCCTTCAAAAGCTATTTTTGGGAAAATTGGAGGCATAAAGTATTGTTACTTTTTTGGAATAAGTTAGTACACGGCATAAGTTTATTCCAGCCGCAGACTGTGAGAAGCTTAAAGAAAAAAAAAAAACATCAAAACCTTGTCAAAGGATTTCCACCAGGGTCTTTCCCTGGTGATATAAGACTGCATTCCTGCACAATCAGAGAGAGGTTGCACCAGTTAAACTGTCATGTTGGTGTGCAAAAGGGAAACCTTTGCTCTCCAGAAGGCCAGACTACAGCTTGCCTGAGAGAAAATAGGCATAGACCAAAACACATGGGATTATTTTTCTTGGACTGATGAGTTTTTAGAGCCTTTTTTTTAACCAACAGGCGAAAGAAAGATGTTGGTATAAACCACGTATTTACAGTAGGGGTTCTCTGCTGCAGCAGGTTGGGATCAGCTCAATATTTAATCCACCATGACTTCCAACATAAATCAAGTGATGCAGTAAAAATGAACATATCTGTAAATAAAAAAGCCCCCGCAGAGAGGTGGAGAAATAAAGCTTTGGTCCTGTAATTTTACATTATTTTTTGGGTTGTCACCTGTTATGTCAGGTTCATTCAAACATGACCTAAAATGTCTCCTTTAGGGTAGCCCTATTGTTCCTGGCTATATAATAATTATAACTTAATTCTTTCATTATGTATTGATTTAAGGTGTCAGATAGTCGAGGGAACTGCACCTTTCACAGGAACCCGACGCCGTGCACCATCCCCCAGGAAAAAGAAAATATCTTCCACTCCATATTTGCATTTTTCACCAAATCTGGGCGGAAAGTCTTGGTAAACAGACAGCACCCACATATTGACTTCTCAGACTTTTTTTTTTATCTATCACACATTTCTCTCACTGCTTACATCCACTTCTCTGTGTGTGTTTTTCCCAGGATTGTGATCGGCCTGGAAGGGCATGTATGACTATCTCCTGCAGTCTGGGTCCACAGCTAAAAGAAGAAGCTTTGAACATAGATATAAAACTTCTACTGAACACAGAAATTTTACAAATAGTAGGATATGCTTCAATTACTCATTAGATTCACCTTGATTGTATTTAAATTAGGGGGGAAAAATTGTAATGTATTGCCTTAATACCTGCAGGATAGTTCCTCTGTGCTCCAGTTTGTAACCAGAGGCAACATCCAAGTAAATCACAGAGCGATTGAGGTGCCAAATGGGCTGCCAGAAGATATTTCTGTAAGTATTGTGTTAACTAACATTCTGCTCACTGATTTAAATCATATTTGTTTTTTGCCTTAAATTAATTTAACAGAAAAAAATGTCTTTCTCATCGAAATATGTAAAAGGCAACTTTGCCATACAACATTAGGGTCACATTTCTATGTCAGGTGCATGTTTAAAGATCATTTGTATTTTTCCCCATGGTCCTACATTGCATTATATTCAGAGCTTGCAGTACTTTTTTGTAGGGAAAAAAATTACTGAAATTCTTACTAATAGATCCTTAATGATCTTTTCAATAAAGTCACTGGTTTAAGAGTAGTATCTCTAACACTCGTATGATATGAATGACTAGGCAAATTATGTCAAAAGTACTGGAAGTATTAATGTAAATTTAGTAGAAAATTGTTTGTATTGCACACAGAAGAGAGAGACAGATGTTAAACCCCCCATCTGAACCAGTACTCAGTGCTGTCATAGTTGATAGAGAATGAAGATGAAAGGTATGTAAGGTGAGACCTGGGGTCTTAGCCCCAACAGTCTTATAGCACTAGATATAAAGCTGTGTTGGAACCTTGCTGCGTTGCTCAACAGTCTATGTTGTTTATTTCTATGTGTCCAAATGAGACAAAGCAGTGTTCTAATAAGTTTTTTGATTGTGCTTTTAGGATAAGTTGAATTTCAGACATGATGATAAACTGTATACAATTAACTTTAAATATATTGATAATGTAGAATGTTAATTTTGATTAGTTAATTGGTGTGTTTTAATTTGTGTTATAATATTCCCTGCCTGATTTGCTTCTGTCAGTCCGCCTCTGTATAACAGTCTACAAGTGACTTTATGTATATATCTTTGTATATATACATACAGTAATTTGAACTGACAATTTTTAATAAATATCAAGTAGGAAAAATTGAAAGGAACACTCTGTCATGAGATTAAATTGCTAATAGTAGTTTTCTGGTCACTGAGTATAGCCGTGGGTTTTCTGACTTAAAAAGGTTAGGTTGGGTTTGATGCTGTTTGCACACGCATACAACTTTTTTTTTTTTTTTTTTATTATATGTTCCAAATTCATTATGTATGTTTGCTTCAATGCATGCAGCAGCTTATCACCAAAGCAAATTGCTTTGCTTGACAAAAAAGCTGTTTCTGATGTTCTGCTTCTGAAGCTGGCAGAAATAGTTCTGATATCCCTTTAAGTTTAAGGTTGCAGTTTTTATGAAACTCCAATGTACTTTTTGCTTGATAGGACTGAATGACTGATACCTAATTTCACTAAAGATAATCCAAGGTCAGCTCTAATTGAACCACAGTTGGAGTATCTTTAGTGATATACAGTAATCATCTTTTTATGTGAGTTTAAAACAGTTGCCTTTTTAAACCCTGTTTTTCTGGCTGATGTGTATTCAGTAATGAATATCTCTGCATTATTACCATTATATAGAGAGTTAATCAGGTTGCTATTAGGCTCCACTAAACCACAAAAAGCCTCCTTTGTGGATCAGCTACATGAAGGAAATGAGAACAAGAACCAGCTGCTATACTGCGTACTTAGATTTGAATTGGCTGTTTTAGATGCACACAAGGACAGCCCCTCCCCCTGCTGCATTTTGCTGAGTGATTAAATGGACCTGCAGATCAAATTTGACAATTATCCTGAGGACCCAGGCTGCTCATAAGGGGATCTCTTTAGAGATTGGGGTGCTGACTAGATTGCCACCCCATTGACCCTGAGCAATGATGGTGCTTGGAAAATCTAGAGCTGTTATTAATATATCCATACCGCGCTGCTCTTTCAGCACTTAGTGTGTGTGCTCTGTCCCTCGACCATTGCTCTCCTGGCCTTTGGTAAACACTCTTACTCTATCCCCTGGGATCGCAGCAGGCTAGAGTAAACAGTGATTTGTGGTCTTTATATGTTCTGCTGCTTTCAGCACAACGAAGACCCCATTTTTGCAACACCAATGAGATTCTGTTAAATCCACATATCATAATTCCATAAAAAGCTGGGGAAATACTTTTTCTGTTTTGAAAGATGCCCTCTGGTTTTGATTTTTTCAATGACGTGATGTTTTAGCTCTGTTCCAATAGGGTTGGTGGTTGTAAAGAACCCAAAGGCCGAAAAGGGAGACACTGGTGGAGCAGAAATAAAGATGTTTAGTGATACAATAAGCAACTTATAAAAACAAACTCCCAAGATCCAAAAACAGAGCTGAAGATTACAAAAGAAGTTAAATCCAAAACAATAAAGCATATAAATAAGCAGTGTACTTTCCCATGGTAAGAACTCAGAAGGGGGAAAAAAATGTTAAAAAACAAAACGTTCTTATTTGAGTTTGTTTAAACAGCATGTGTGCAGTTTTATAATCTTACTCAGAGGCCACCAAACTCTTGTGATCAGTTCACAGACCCTCTAGTCAGAGCCCTAAATGATTTAAAGAACTCAGATGAGAATGTACAGTGTAAAGTCAGTCGGACTAGAGCAGACTGGTCTTTTTTTGTCTTGATTTCATGGAACCATAAACGAGTCGTTATCAATTTTTGAACATAAGCTCAATCCAGCTTTGATTTGTAGGAGGTCAATATCGTCCACACCATACTAGCAAGTATATTTCCCCTGGTGCTTTGCGAAACTGAGAATTTTTTTAGAGAGCTCTAGTCAAACATCAGACATTTATCCACTTGAGATGCTGTTAAATTATCTATATTGATTGTATAGGCCACTAGAATCCCTCCACTCTGGTGTTAATGGCTTCTTGTTATAGCAAATTGTAATGAAAGCAGTCATATTTTCAATGAGAGCCATCTTAGTTTAGTGTGTGCATGGTTTTAAAACCATAAATAAAATATATATATTATAATATATTTATAATATATATTTATTCTGATCATGATATTGAAATGAACCATATAATCTAAAACATATTTTATGCAACATCAAGGACTGTAAAAAAAAAACAAAAAAACACCAATATATGTCACCATTTTGCAACTGACCTCAGTTTTGCAATTGAGTTCAGTTGCAAAAAAAGTTTAGTTTTAAGCCCAATGACCAGTAAAGCTTTCATCTCTTCTATTATGCATTATAGCAGTTTAATTCTTGGAATCTGGATTAAGGGAGGGTCATGTTAACGTGGGAAAATATTCAGTAGAAATATTTGTCATTCCTTGTACTTTGGTTTTGTTTTTGTTTTGACACAGACTTGGCAACTCATGCTACGTTTTTGTTCACTTTAAGATCCATGTTCATCTGTCTCTTCTTTAACTGTACTTCCTTTTTAGGCTGAACCGCAATGTGTGGGGACATGATGTTTAACTGAAAGTATTGTTTGGATTTGTTAAGAGACATTTAGTAATTATCCAACAACTTCATGACCCTAAGAATAGGTGGTTTTCCACTTTAGGTTTAGATGTAGCGTTATGCAGATTTATCTCTATTTTTTTAGTGATTCATTATTTAACTAATGATAAAGAAATAAGAATGCAGCATAGTTCAAATCAGGAAAAAAAAGAACAGAAACTGACTTACTGTCATTTTAAACAAGTATAAACACGTATATTTTCATTTGGTGAATTAAATACATACACCACTAAAATAACATATTTGAGTTACAAATTTAAATAAATGTAACAGCATTACAGGTGCTCAAAATATTTTCTATAATTTCTAAAATTATGACCACATTTATCATTGATCTAAACCTATTCACACTCTATTTCAATCTCTTTCAAACCAGAAAGTATCTTTTTAGGTAAAAAAACAAAAACTACTGTAAGTGATTAATTGTCTAGCAGACAACATTCATTCCTGTCATGGGAAATTTGCTAAGATTGCTGCTATTTACCACACAGTTTATATATATTTAAAAGCTGCCAGATATCCAAATACAAATAAACGTTTTTGCCGCAATGAGTAGCACTGCTGTCTTGCAGCAAGAAGGTTCCTGGTTTGATTCTCGGTCCAGGGTCTTTCTGCATGGAGTTTGCATGTTCTTCCTTAGCATGTGTGGGTTATCTCCGGGTACCCCTGCTTCCTCTCACAGTCCAAAAACATGACTGTTAGGTTAAGTGGCGTCTCTAAAGTCCCCTTAGGTGTGAGTGTGTGTGTGAATTGTTGTTTTCCTGGTTGCTTCTGTGTTGCCCTGCAATGGACTTTCGATCTGTCCAGGGTGGACTCTGCCTCTCGCCTATAGACAGCACCCCTCGCAACCTCGCTTGGGGTAAGCGTGACGGAAAATAGATGGATGGACCTTAATTTATTAAATGCTCAAACCTTTACATTTAAAGGAAGATGCAACAAATAGAAAAATAGTTGAAAAAAGTATTATGAAAGTTGTTTTCAATGTAACTGGTTAGAAAAGATGAGTCTGGAAGCCCTTTTTAACCATATCCTGTTATTTGACTAATCAATGTTACTTATCATAGTTCTTAATTAATAACTTGTTTGAGATTTGGTGGTTTGAAAAGCACCTGCAGATGCTACATTCAAATAATTCTTATGGACAGAATATTTTGCAAATCTTGGCATGAAACATTTTTCACAGCAAAATAGAAATGACAGCCTGGTTAAGCTAGAGATCACAATCTTTATGCTAAAAAATAAGATGCATATAGAGTTAATGCTAGAGTGTTTTATTGGCTACAGTATAACTAAGTACAGTATTTGTTTAATTTCTCTGTATCTTCCTAGTATTTTAACAACAAAATCATGGTTTCCTCAGGGTTCAGTTTTTGGACGAATTGTTGTGTTTTATTTTGTCCATTTATTTATATCTTCTGTTACAGCTATGTCTATTACAATCTGATTTTTCATCGATCTTAAATAGCAGTGTGAATTTTATTTTTCCGATTCCAATACCAGTATCAGAAATGTCTCTGATACTGCCAAAAATTCTGGCATCGGTATCGGCGAAAATTGGAGTTATTCCTTACATTTTTAAAACAAACGTTACTCGTTACTCTTGGCTTCGGTTTTATGTTTATAAATATTTATTTCAAGTCATGTGCGCCATCCAATGCAGATCGTTGACGCCATCCACATCTAGTGAAAACTAGTGTAATTGGATGAGTCATATAACGCAAACACTCATTGGTTAGCTAAAGGAAATCATCAGAAGCTAGCAGGTGTTCTTCAAACTGCAAACGTGAATTGTCTATGCTATGCTACAATGTCTGATTCAGAAAAATGGTTGAAATGTCTGAAAGGTTGGACACAGGCGAGAGCATATTGGGAGGTGGAGACGGAGACCAACGAGACCTCCCTCATCCTTGGCCATATCAAAGAATTTTTCGAAATAGTCGAATAATTGAGCTTTCAATTCATATAGTGACATCTGGCTGTTTTTTTTAAGGTTGCTTTATACTTGAGTAAAGAGGTCAAGTTGATACTTCAACTTTTACCAGAGTCTTTTTAAACAGCAGTATCTATACTTCGACTTAAGTAACAAATGTGTGTACTTTTGACATCACTGTAAAACAGGGAACATTAACCTTGTTAACAGCCACTGCTTCAAACATCTGGTGTAAAATGCAAAGGTCATCATGAACCCCCAATTTCATTCTACTACTTCCTTCACCATAAAGTATGGCCTGGGGATTAATATCGATTGTTGATTATGTTGAATTCATTTACCTTCATTTTCAAACTAAGCTAATTTAGATTGTAATATGTTTATGCTCTCTGATGCAGTAAAGTGCCTTAAGTTGACGTGTTGTAAATGAGCACAATATAAATAAACTGAATTGAATTGAAATTGAATTGAGTTACATGTAGCTCCTCCTGAACTAAAAGCCAAGGCCCTGGATCGGAGAGTTTTTTTGTTTTTTTTCTACACAATGCTTTTTCATCATTGGTGCATGACTTCATGTGCATTCTTTGGTGCATGTGTATTGTATTTGACTGTGACTCCCTAAATCTTTTGCTTCAGCTGGTGTTCGAGGCCCTCCACAATCAGGAGCCAAGGGGTTACGTCGTAGGCTGGATCATCGCTATCAGTCTCCTTGTGGGAATTCTCATCTTTTTGCTGTTGGCTGTGCTACTTTGGAAGGTAATCACACACACAGATTGTGATTTTTGTTCAACATATAGCGTGTGAAAGCTAATAAATAGTGTGTGTGTGACAGCCAGGAGCAATGTGTTTTACTCTGGTTAGATGTCAGCACGGTATCCAGTTGACTAGAGGCAGCTGGAGGTAGGGGAAATGAGGTGGGGGTCAAAGCTTTCTTAAGGCCTTTGACAACCATGAAAATGACAAATCACAGACTGGACAATAATTCACACCATACTGTTTGCATGAAAGAAGAATTTAAAGGGAAAACGGCAATTATTTTGATACCCAAAGAAGCCGTTAGCACAAATCTCCTTTTCTTTTTCACCGCCTCATCTTCCAATGGGAATACCACATCTAAACTTTGGAATGTCGGTCCAGGGACACATTATCCAAGCTATTCCCCAAGTCCTGAGATCCTGCCAAAACAAACCTTGCTTACAACTCCAGTACATGTCCTGTATTGCATTTATCAGGAAATGCCTGAGATGAGTGCAGGTCTATATCTATACACTTTAGCTGCCAAATGTAGATACCATAAATGAAAAGAGGCGAGTTAAAGAAACGTTTGCTTTTTGAGACTGCTCTCTTCATAGATTTATATTCTTATTTTTGGATTGACCTTGTAATATTTAATAAAATCTCAATGCAAAACGCTGCAAAGTATAGCTTGCTTTAATAAAAAACATGTGCTAAAGTTTAACATTTACTTTCAAGGTATATATATATATATATATATATATATATATATATATATATATATATATACATACATACATACATACATGGTTTTGCATGGTTTTGCATGCATGCATAAATTGCAATGGCAATTTATGGATGCTTGTGTGGATCAGATTGTAGATCCTACAGTGCTTTCCTAAACTGATTTCCTGTCCCCAAGATATCTGTTGTCTTCCATCTCTTTCACAGTGGGAGAAATATCAAATTCATAATGTTTCACCCAAAGATAAAAATCATTCACCGTTTACTTGGCGTCATGCATGTTATGTGACCTAAAACTGTGTTATTTTGTAAAGATGCAGCTGAAACATGAAGCTGTTGTAGATAAAGTGTTCACTGGTAGTGCTTTCAAAGAAACTCAACTGCTCATGGTCAGCGGCCATGTCCTGCAAAGGTATTTATAGGGAGGCAGAGATTGAACTAAACAAATACACAACATATTTTTAGAGTTGTTTTTGCCGGAATAATTTGTAAACGTGTTATTTTCTTTTTGCCTTAAAAGTTTACACCAAAATGTGTGAGGGACCCAAAGATCCCAATGAAATACATATAGATTTATGGATGCAATGCGACAGAATACAAAGAGGTTTAGGGATAATATTAATTTGCAGGACAGTGTGATAAAGTTTAATTAATATTAAAAGAAACAAAATAATTTTTTGACAGCAATAACAACTTTTTTTTGTTGTTATTGTTTCTTAAACAGTGTTGTTGAAATTGTAATCACATTAATCAACTAATATGATGTTTAATGCACAAATTAGATATTCTCCAACTAGAATTTAGATATATATTGTATGTGGTTTATATATAAGGCTCCTTGCAGTCTGTTGTTGTCCCTCTGAGAACTCAATTTGTCCTCCCTCTTACTTAACAGATGGGTTTCTTCCGTCGGCACTACAGAGAGATCATCGAAGCTGAAAAGAACCGGAAAGACAGTGATGAAAGCTGGGACTGGATGGACAAGGACCAATGAGACATTCAATTGGGGCCCAAGAGGAGCCAGTGAGATGAGGGTCAAAAATGATCCAGTAGCACTTGGAGCCCCGCCGCCTCCGGCGGCACCAGATTCTTCAAAGTCTTTCATATGTGGAAGAGAAGATTATTCTCCATATTTTCTGGAGACTCTGTTTTTTTCTGCAGATGGGATGGGAGGGGTGGTTCAGGGAACAGGCTTCTGTTTTGAATATGTGGCTTTATGAAGGATACTTGCTGTGGAAATCAGCAATTCTGTGATGAGGGGTCTCCACTTGGCTGGAGCCAAGCTGCAGATTTTACACCAACGCCTGTAGCGGGGGACAATGGAGAGGGAAGGAATAACGGTGGACAACAAAACCCTCAGGGCTGTGTTACATAGCAAATTTATTTTTATACATTCACTTTCAAGCCATATAAAAAAGTAAGCTTTGAGAGAAAATTAGCTTTTTAATGCCATTAGAAACATTCTGTGTCTGCAGTCTGTTTTTCCTAAAAGCACTGATGTTTAAGAATGAATGCCTTTGCTCAAAAGCTTTTAATTTTGTGCCAAAGATCTGTCCTTGGTAATATATTAGTGGAGTCATTTGTGTTTTCCGCTCATTCCTGTTACAGGAACTAGAAGATTGCTCAAATCATTTTCAGTAAATTGGAATATTATTAAAAATATATATTTCAGTAATTAAATTAAACAATAAAGCTCCTCTTAATTACACACAGTGATATATTTAAAGCATAGTTAACTATTAGTTTTGATGATTTAATCCCCACTTCTAATGAAATGCCAAGATTCAGGTTCTCAGAATATCAAAATTACATGAAATCAGTAAAAAGGATTTTTTTAATTAAAAAACATTACAAAATTATGTCATCATAATCAATATTGGGGAAACTGCGGACTGGACAGTGGTCAAGCATACAGTTATTCTGTTTCTTAGTCCTGAATTCAAGCTAATTAATGGAAAGTTGAATGGAAGGAAAACATAGCAGAGATTGTGGCACAAATTACAGGGATGACCACAACCTAGAGAGATACAGCATATCACTGTCCAACATGGTTTTATATATGATTTCCACTTTTTGAATGGAATTACTGAAATAAATATTTTTTTTTAAAACATCCTAATTTATTGAGATGCACCTGTATCTTTTCTTTACCTTTTTTCGGTTTGTGTAATTTTATTTCTACACATCTGGCTGAGTCCTTTTTGGAAATTAATCAAAGAAGCTTTAAAGACCATGGGAGAAATGTTCATTATGTGATATTCACTGTAGAGCTTTCATTTAAAACTTTGTTTAGTCTATTCTTATTAATGTGTAAACATGCAAAAACGGACTTGTTCTATCCAATTGTGAGCAGCAATCTTCTCTCCTCAGACATTTTAATTTAGTTATATTTAAATTGAGCTAAGCTGTTTCTTAAGAATGCATTGCATTTTTCAGGTTAACCCCCCAAAAAATTAGCTACAGTATTACATTTAGGACTCTTGTTATAAAAGCTGTTTTCTTTTGCTTTTTTCAAAGCTTCTCCAAATTTTATTTAAACTATAAGATGATGGATTTTCAGAACTCTATTCAGGGCTGTTCTATCTACAGTTGTTTACAGTGAGTTGGCCGACAGCACGAGTAATGTTTGAAAATACATGGGACTTGGCTGCACTCAGCCACCAAATAGAAACAAGCTCTTTGGGACTAATGGGAATAACTTTACTCATGATGAAAGCATAAAAGGGTGTACTAGCTTTTAGACACAAAAGCACGTTTAAATTGAAGATTAACAGGTCAAGTGCAGCATGCTTTTTAAACAGTATGGTTCTTAGTAAAATCTGGAGATTTGCATTTCTACACATTTAAATAGCCTATTGTAAGAAAACATTAAAAAGAAGGCTTTTTCAATTTCTTAAATTTGAAAGTTAAAAGAAAAAATACCATATAAATATATATAGAAAACACCAGATTTACATTTAATGTGCAATTCTTGAGATCACTAGCATTACTTAACCTGCTCAGACTTTAGCTCTAAGCCACTTTATAGCTACGTATGGCTGTTTCACACTTATTGTGCAGAATATTTTGTCACTATTGAGTTTCACTGGCATTAGAGCAGCATATACTGTACACCTTCACGTCTTCCCTCTGCACCAGTGTTTAAGATGCAAAGCTTCATTTATGAAATCATTTAAGAAATCGACACTTGACTTTTTTGTTGTTGTTGTTGTTTTGTTTTTGTAAAAGTCTGACTGTGATGATTCAGTGTTGGATGCCTTTGTTAATCTCACCAATGTTTGGACTTTTGTTCTGAGTGTACTACTGTCAGTGAGTATCCTTTCCATTATAGTTTGCTGTACCTTTGATGTTTAAATTCATGTCTGAGCTGTATATTTATCTATTGATAAATTTCAGTGTGAAATATCCAAGCTCTGTGCTTTTTCTTTGGTTCGATGCTTTGCTTTTGGTATAATTTTGCGCCACCTGCTGGAAGCATTGCTACTCCACTGATAAAATCTTCACTGAAGATTTTTGTTTTTGGTATTTTAGTATAGGAAGGGTTTTGTCAAAAGTGACTTACTTCATCTGAAAAAAAAAAACTGTTTAAACAGCATAAGCTGTAACACATTTTTATCTGAAAAGTACTTTTCCATTCCTGGTCTTTAAAAGCAAAACAAAAAACATTTAAAGTATTTATTACCAGTGATGTTAATGGATTACATTTGGCTATATCAGTCAGCAAGGCAGTACCTGTATTTTTATTTATGCTTCAGACAAAAGTTCCATAACTCTGTTAATGCAATACACACTTATTATTTCCAAAATGGTTTTAGCCTTCGTTTAGCAGAACACAACATATCTTTTTTTTCTTTTTGGGTAAAGGTAAAGTTAAAAGTGAAATTATTATAATTTAATAACAATTTTTATCCATTATGTTGGAAGCTAACTATAAAACGTTTTTCTGTTATTGTCATTAAATTTGTCATTGTATGTTTAAACTATGCACTCATTTAGATCATTCCTGCAAATGACTCACGTCTCCTAAAAACAGCAGCAAACTTCTCTAGTATTCATAGCCTTTATTCCTGTGTGATCCAAGGCCTTCATAGATCTTAACAGACTTTAGTCCTGCCTGTGCAGATGTGCTTCTAGTTTTTCTAGATCAGACCTAAGTAACGTCAATGACTTGTGATCAGTGCCTCTATCTTAACACCTGCAGCATAAAATAATGCTGGTGTAGAGTAACATATTTTCCTCTTAAATAAACAACAAACCACTCCTAAGGGTGACCTTTATTGCAATTTATTATATTCAGGTTGCAGGTGTAGTTTATTTGCATTAGAAATATCTATTTTATTAAAAAAAAAAAGTTATATATATATATATATATATACCTTATCATTTAAACTTATGTTGTGTGAAGCTAATTAGGGGACAGCAGTTGCTATGAAACACTGAAATCAGGCACCTGCTAAATTATTAAAACAGCTGCAGCTCTGAGTACAACAGAAGCTCAACAGCCTAAACTGTTGGATTTCTCCTTTTATTTTCATCATCAACAGCGATCAGAGCTATGTCCTCACTACTGGAATACAGCGTTGTCAAGACTGTAGCATTGGAGAGAGTGGTGGCGCCCATTGCAACACATTTATGTTACCTTGTGTTGCTGTGTGACAGTATGGATGAGCCCGGGCAATTCAGCCAGCTGGAAGCAGCAGCTCAGGGGGTAACTAAAGCCACTGAGAACATGGCAGCAGTGGTCTCCAGGTATGTACCATCTGGTCAAAATCCACTGCTGATTTGGAATCTTCAGCTGTGTGCTCAGATAAATATCTGACCCTTTAACATTTTAGGTTAATTAGTAACACAGATGATGAAGTTCTGCACATGGAGATGTCATCCTTGCTGGAGCCATTCAGTGTATCTGGTCACCATGTCCTGCTGGCGGCTCAGAAACTCAGCATCCAGCCTAATATGCCTGAGCACAGAGAGGAACTCGTCGCTGCAACACAGAATGTCTTCCTGGGAGTTGTCAAAGTAAAGTATTTTATTTAGCTACACAGTTTTGGGGAAATAAGTTTTCTGTAAATGTAGCAAAACAATCAATTCTGAAACAATGTCTCACTCAGAAGGTGAATTACAACTTTTATTTTTTTATTTCATTTTCTTAAGCTTAAACCTAAAAGAGAACATTCATTAGGCAAAGCAGCTGACATACACAGCTCCGTGTCTGTCTGTTAACATCACACATCCATCATCCGCTTTTCTCTCAGGGTCACCATGAAACGGGTGCCATTTTCCAGCAGTCTTTGGCCAAAAGGCACGTAGCCAGTCCATCGCAGTGCAGACACATACAACTATGTGTATACACACGAGCATACACACACATACTGAGGGCAAATTAGAGGAGCCAGTTAACCTAACCATCATGTTTTTTAGACTGTGAGAGGAACCCATAATCCCCGGAGAGAATCCACGGATCGATGGGAAGAGATTGCATACTCCATTCAGAAAGACCCTCGGCTGGCAATTGTTTACTAATAATTTCTGGCCATGTAGTACACAGAAAAAAAAAATACAAATATAAAAACTTTACTGTAGATCCCTTTGAGTATAACATTTCCTCTATAAAACCTGGATACTACAGCATTTTGATTTAGGGATGTATTTCATAAGCAAGGATTGGGATTCTGGGCCGAGCTGATGGAGAAATGGAGTTGAATAGGGTGCTGCTAGAGAAGACATTCATCTTTCAGCATGCTGGCAACCCAAAACACAAGGCAACATTGTAATGACTTGGGCATATATATGTGTAAGAATGGCAAAGTCAAAGTATAAACCTATATCTGGATGATAAAAGTAATATTTAGGATTTAATTTGAGATGCTTCTTTCCCCTTACCTCCCTAAGAGATCTAATGATTCAGCTTGTCTTTATGCCGATTTCTTCTCCATTATTTAAATACAATGTTTTATTTAGGACTGCTAAGTTGCGCAGTGAGTAGCACTGCTGCCTTGCAGCGAGAAGGTTCCGGGCCTGATTCCTGGCCAGGGGTCTTTCTGCATGATGTTTGCATGTTCTCCCTGTGCATGCGCAGGTACTCCGTCCTCCTCCCACAGTCTAAAAACATGACTGTTAGGTTAATTGGCTTCTCTAATTTTTCCTTAGTTGTGAATGGTTGTTTGTCTCTGTGTTGCCTTGCGATGGACTGGCAACCTGTCCAGGGTGTACTCCGCCTCTCGCCCGTATACAGTTGAAGAGCACCCCTCACGACCCCAGCTGGGAGAAAGTGTGATGGAAGATGGATGGATGTTTTTTTTTTTAAATAGAGCAGATATTTATGGAGTTGCTATGCTCATGCCTCTGTTTTTATATCAGTCTGAATTTTTGAGTAAATGTCAAATCTTTGTTAAATCTCGTCTGAAAATAAACCTCTGATTGCAGATTCTGTTGGTGGAGGATGGAGCAGTTGTGAGGAAAGTCCTGGCTGCAGCCGATCGGGTTCTGGAGTCTCTCACCGAGGTCGGCTTCTCTTTGGATATGAAATCGCTTCTCAAATCCTTCCAAGACTTTTCAGAAACTTTGCTTACCCTCAATGCCCTCACAGTAGACAGGGCCCAATCTTTACAGGATTCTAGACAGACAAAGCAGCTTCTTGACTCTTTGGGAACACTGAGGAAGTGCATCCCCATGCTGCACACAGCAATGTGCACCACCATCAAACACCCAACAAGTGACCAGGCCCAAGCAGCCAAGACGTTCATTCTGGACAAGATCCAAAGCACTGTTAGAGACATCAGTGCAACTCTCAGCAATGATGACCACAGCGGACCATTGGGACCGTATGGGTACTATACTGGGAGGCATAACGGACTGTTGCACCTCCTTAATAGTCACTCTAGTTACCAAATTCAGGACAGTGGCTTTGACAGCATGGTTAGAGACATTGTGTTCCACTCAATGGTTGTGGCCAATTCTTCACGAAAAGAAGCTCAGCAAAGAATAGTCAGTCATTGTCGTCAAATCCTTCAGTTTTGGTCTGACATAAAACAGATCTTAAAATCATCTGAGGAAAGTGATGATTCTGATCAGATATTTAACAAGACCTGTCCTTTGTTAGTCCAACAAATACAAATGCTGGACAAAGCACTAAAAACTGCAGTTCTTCATCAAGTCTTAGACACTTTTCTTAGAGCCACATGTACAGTTGATGAATTATCTGGTACTATAAAAAGGCTCTTAGAAGGAGATGCCACTAAAATGATGGATCTGATGTTTCTCCAGCCAGCAGTAGAGGATTTTATTTCATCCACTGATGGGATAATCCAAGTAGCAACCTTCGTCTCAGCTATTACTGAAGATGTAAAGAGCTTAGAGAATGTGGAGAACTCACAGGCGTGCCTTAAGAGGCTAAGAGCTCAGACTGCCTCTCTTTCACTGGAGCTGGGAGAAAATTCATGGCAAACCCTTCAAAAGCTTCATGATGTGTGCCTGAAATGGGAGGAGGAGGCAAGTCAGCTACAAGAAGCTCTCAGCGATGTGATGGATGTAAGAGAGTTCACAAGTCTCGCCATCAGTGAGATGGTTAAAGAGCATTATGGTTGTGATGAAGCATTTAGAGAGCAGAGCTATAAACTATTTGATGAACATGCTAAAAACCTAATCTCACATGCAAAGCTAGTGCTTCGCTCAGTGAAAAGGCACCTAGACAGGAGCAACCAACCAATCTACAGGAATGGTCTGCTGGTCTTGCTCAAACAGGCTCAGTCCTCTCAAAGCAAAGTGGATGAATCGGTCAGAAATATGCTACAAGGCTCCACTCTGAATGTGGAGATGTATTCGGCATTCACGAACATTGTTTTAGCAGCTATTCAAAATTTTAAGGTGCTCAAGGAAGGACTGGATGGACATCAGCACCCACATCTCCTCAGCCCGCTGCGAGAGGAGGCGCGCAAACCAGAAATCTCACAGTTGTCTTCAACCATCGAAGATATTCATGGGATAAGCTTGGATCATGTGGCGAGAGACCCTGTTTCTCCTGTTTCTGAAATGATGGGAATGGATTCTCTAACAAAACATGATGAGCTTTCAAACACAGAAAATGTAGAAGCAGCTCATAAAGATGACAACAATGATTTAAAGAAGCCAGCTGTCCAAGATGAGCCTAAACCAATCCTTGTTGACCTTTTACCCCTTCTGTATGAAGTTCTGACTGTGACTAAAGGAAAAGACGTGTCCACTCTCAACCAGGTTTGCACTAGAGTTCTTGAGCTGTCAAATTGTTATGCCCAGGCTACAAAAGATGGCTCAACAATTGTTGACACAGTTGGGTCTCAAATGCTGGAGAGCTTTAGATCAGAATTAGTGTCTTTGACGCCTCTGCTGGTACAGACAGCGCAGGAGACAGCAATGAGCACAGCAATGAGCACTGAAAGTCTGCGCAAACAAAGCGTGCAGTTCTCTGACCTCATTAACAACATCCGGAAGATTTTGCTGCCTGTGGCTGGACTGTGGTATCATGCTGTGTGTGCAGAACTTCAGAGAAACCTGCTAACTGAAACTCACAGTGCTTCGCAAAATCTAAATTACGTGATAAATGTATTCACTGGTGTGGTCCAGTTCCTGATGTCGTCTGATTTGAAGTCAGCTGACCGTCAGGAAACATTCAACGTCTTGAACAATAAGCTTAGCAAAGCCCAGAGTAATACAAGGTTTCTGACAGAGCTGTCTTCCTCTTCTGAAAGACAGGTGGATCATATTGAGGGACACTGTATCCTTTGGAGTCTTTCTGTTCAGGTTTTACTGAACTCTCTGGATATGATTCTAGGCACCTGTGCCACAATAAACCAGCTCAATCCTCAAAAACGACTTTTGGCTCTTTCTGAGAGCTCTTTAAGAATTCAAGAGGCTGCAAGACTAACCAGTTTGAACTGCAAAAGTGCTTACAAGTCAAAGCACCTGACGAGCTTTCAGGATGAACTCAAAACATTGACCGATGATTATCTTGAAGCTTCAAAAGAACTTGAAACAGTGCCAAGTCTGAACCAACTTGCAAATTCAGATTTCCTACAGAGACAACTCTTTATCAAAATTAGAGTGCTTTCTAATCAGTTAAGTAAAGAAAATAAGGACTTTGTATCTGCTTTTCAAAATATTGTTGAACTTACTCATTCTGCTGCTGGACATCTGAGAGATTCAGAACATGCAGAAGAGACAGAGAAAGAATTTGAAACCTCATCCCAGAAACTTGTTGAAAACGTTCAATCTGCAGCCAGAAGAGTGGAGGATTGCTTGAACTACATCCGTGACCCACGGGCCCGCTCAAACCTGAGGTCTATCGGCGATCACCTGTGCTTTCAGATTTCAGAAATAATCAGCAGAGCGAGGCTCATGATGGAGACTCATTCTATTTGTGACACTCTTAGCTTGGATGTACAGATCCAGTGCTGGTCAGCAAAAGCTCATTATCTTGTGGCAGAGATCATGAAGCAAGATGGGATTCAACATGAAGCTAAGGAGGGCATCAAGGTTGGTTTACAGGGAAGATCCTGCACAGATTTTAACAAAGAATTGGCTATGATGCCATCTAGAGTTAAAGAAGTGGAATTTACTAACTCAGCCATACCACTGCTGGAAGAGAAGGATGGAACTGCAGATGCAGCAGAACCAAATGTGAGCCTGGAAGCTTTGGCAAAACAAGTTTCCAAAGATGATAGAAAACATGTAAGGATTTTGAAAACTACAAGATTGTCTGTTTAAACATTCCTTAGTGTCAGTGTGAAAATTTAGCATTTGTTTTACAGCTTGGGACCTCCTCTGCTACATACAGAGAAGGTTTTCCTCTGAGTTACACTGCCATTTTCCTAAAGCGAAAAAATGAACACTGGGATCAAAAGAACAACAAAATAGTCCAGGTGACGAGAAAGATGGCTGACACAATAAATCACATGACGCAGTACTTAAAGAAGAAAGGCCCGATACTGGTAATGATCAAAAGATGCACCTCTTACATCTGTATTTCAGCGACTATTAACTAATTCATTGCATCTCTTTCTCGCCAGAACAAAGATGCATTTGTTAATGCAGCGAAAGATGTGATCTCAAACACTCAGACTGTTACTCAGTTCATCAGAGTTATTGCCAACCTGAGCCTGGACAAACAGTGCACGGTTGAACTTTCCCTCATCATCGAACAGATTCTGACCATCACTAATCAGCTCAACATCATATCCAGGTTAGCCATCTTTTAAAATAGAATCTCACATCAATATGATGTTTTACATCACCAAATAACTTTTTATGTCATTTAAAGATAAGTTAAATGAATAATGATTGAATATTACAATGAAGATTTTGTTTAGTGAAGGGAAAAGGTACAGTAGATCCAAACCAACATGGCCCTTTAGAGTCCTGCCTATGGTATGCTGTCAGAAATCTTCATTATGTTTCCTTTTTTTATATATTCACAGGTGAACTCGTTAGTCTGTTTTGGATCATTTTGCTGCTGAGTATCCCAAGTTATCTCATGTCTTTCAGGGTTTTTTTGGAATACAACAGAATATGAGATAGTGGTCCCGGAAAAAAAAACAAAGCACCCCAAGATCACCATTTCCCTACCCAATCCGCCCCGGAAGCACGATTCGTACCATCAGCTCATTTGCTCATTTACCCCATGTTTATCTGCATTTTAGTTGCTTCTGCAAATCAGCTGCTGGTACGGATCGTGGTTCAGATCAGGTAGTGACACACTGTAGTGAACTTTTGAAGGACTCTTGGAGTAATTGTGGTTAAGTGGCCATTCCTCTGAAATATTTCCCTCAGTTTTATGTTTTCTCCATTACCAGGTAATAAACTCAGCTATCTAAAAACAGTTAATCACAGTTCATTTATGTTTTATCAAAGGGCTGGGAGGGGTTGAGGGTTAGTATGTTCTATATAGGGTAAACATCCAAACAAAGTTATTTAAATGTTCATTTCTCTGAACAGATTAACTTATTTAAAAGGTACATTTTATGTTAATGCAGGTTATCTTTGTCTAAAAGTAACATGTGTTTGATTATCTAACCAGATCCACAGAACAAAAAAATATATATAGGCTGAAAAATTCTGTCAAGGAGTAAATTGTATATTACACAACAAATGTCAAGTGAAAGTGCAATATTTACTGAGCCTACTGTTTTTCCTTTTCATATAGTGTAAATGCTGTCACACCTGGGTGCAAATCATCTGATGAGATCCTGGTAAAGAACGCACAAAATCTTTTTCAGACTGTTCTGAGAGGGCTCCATGCTGCAGAAACAGCGTGCATTACGGTAAATATCACCATAAATTCACATAAACAAGCCGACATTAATTTGTTCAGTAAGAAAATCAATTACAAGGATTCTAAAAAATAAGGGCATTTAAACTTGTACATGAATAGTTACTTTTTAATGTTCAGGTCCATTTGTTTTGGATTTAAGTAATCATTTAACTTGAGGTTGTTTGACATTATTAAACAACCCTTTTTTGTTGGCTTGTATTGAATAATTCAAAGGCAAGAAGTATGTTACTGCCTCTGCCCCGCTTTCCTCTCTTAGGACATTATGGTTTTGATGTTAAAAAGTTTCTGTTCGAAAAAACTATCTAAACATTAGACCTTTGCCGTCCTTTTGAAAGCCAAACTTCAAGGATAGAAAGCATAAAACATCTACAGTAGATGAATTAAACCAGTGAGGACTAACAATAAGAGAAAAAGAATAATCTTACATTTTTATTTCTCCTTATTTACTGGAGAATTTTATATGGAAACTGATTATTCACTTAAATAAGCCAATATGCATGTATTTAAAAAAATGACTTTTAATCACTGTTTCTAGAATTAAAAGCTACTGTTTTATGATGTTTTCTTTATTCGGTTTCATGTCTCTGAAATTCAAAAAAGACCTTTTTTTTTTTACACTATTTCAGGGTCTGAAGCAGCCAGAACCAAACTCAGACGACGCAGAGGCCACAGCCTTGTGCTTCCAGTGGAAAAAAAACTTAGAGATCCATCGAGCCCAGCAGACCACCAACCCAGAAACTGATGATCTCGGTTTAAGAAAAACATCATTGCACACTTTAGCTCCCAGTCTGGCCCCGCAGGTTAATGTAAAGACCACCTTCAAGTAACACTTGAAGGTAGTCTTTACATTAACTACCTTCAAGTAGATGTATGATGGCCATTATGAAGTCAGGCTCCTTATATGTCAAAAAGCTGTCAGAAAGATCAACTCCTTCCTTTCTATTGGACAATCTATATCATAAATGTTAAATAGCAAGATTTCTGTGTATCACTAAGATAAAGGTTACTTTACAATACAGAAAAATTTAATCTTTACTTTCATTTTTACTTAATTTAATGAGGTTGCAAGAAACAGAAACGATAAGAAAAATTATAAAAGGGGAAGCTCAAGTGTATGTAACTGAGCTTTTAAGAATTAAGCAGTAGAAAAATCTTAATGTTTTAAAAGCTAAGTGGCTCTTTAAATGTTTAAGACAAACTGTACTAATATCATATAGTAATCTAAGTATAGGGGAAAAAATAATTGAATAAAGTAAAAATTTTCCGTTTTGGTCATACCAGTAAAAGGCCCAGAAATCACGACTTCTGCCCAGAGGGAAACTTAGGGATGCTGCAAAAGAAGCAGAAAGGTGTTGCTGGAAAAAGGGATATCCCAGTGTCCCTCCTGGCAACCTTTCCTCCTATTTAACCTTAGATCACTGGAAGACCACAACAGCCTTTTTTCATTCTCCAGCCTCCAATTTGAGAACCTCCGCTGTAGAAATGAGAAAGTTTCATACTCTTTGATCTGGAAATCAGGCAGTTAGTTTCCCAACAAGACCAGATGAATCAATCCAGCATGAGGGTTCTGTTTTCACTAAAAGGGAATTGTTGGAACAACCCAGGGAACAATGATTGGAAATTGTTTGATTTTAACCCAGTTTGTTGTAATTCTCAGTTATTTTAGGTGAAATTTAAACAAATATTTGATAAGAGGAACAAAGAGCAGATAAAATGCAAGCATTTTTCTTTTTTTCCATTATTGCAACAGATTGACCCAGCTGCAGAGTCTCAGTCACAGAACAGCTGCAACTTATTAGAAGGGATTTCCAAGAAAAGGAGTCGTCATGGTGCGATGATCAGCCAATCAGAAAATGACTCACATCCAATAAGCAGCCAACAATAAAAATAGATTCTTATATCTCAACCACCTTCTTTAGACAAGGGAGAAACAGAACGTCTTAACAATCCCTTTGAAAATAATTTCTCATGGTGGGCCATTTTGAATAAAGTATAAATTATTTTAGAAACTAACCAGCTTGAAAGTTTATTATGAGATTGTATTAACGTTTTCTAGAGCCGCAAATTCTGATTTTTGAATAATAGTGATAATGTCAAATTAAAGGAAATAAATTGAGGGGTTATTTTCAGTCATAAAACTTTTGAAAAAAAAAAAAAAAAAAAAAACATTTTAAAAATGCTGAAACACCAATTTCCTTAGTAGAGGTTATGACAAGCTAAAATATAAAATTATACAAAGGGTCAAATTTGCTATCTGTGTATATCACAGTATGTATTTTTAGCTTAAAAAAATAAACCAACTAAATTACATTAATGAAATATTAATAAAGGTCCATGTGAGTAAAACCCTCTAATAGTATAATCTATGTAAAACTACAAAAACAGGCAAATAAAGATAACACACAAACACTGTATGTGACTGTGAAGGGAAAATGTTTCTTCTTCACTTCTTTATTCAATATATCCCAAATAAAAGCACTTAAATAATGGGCATGTGTAGTTAAAACCGAGAAGCTGGTGTCAGCTTACAATGGAGCGCTGAGTAAAATGCTCTGTACAAATAAGAAAAAAAAATGCCTGTTCACAATAGAAAATATGAAGGAAATAAAAAAAAGGTAACAGATTATCCTCAAGGAAACAGAAAGTTCCACACATTACAGAAAAAAAAAATGCTTTGTACTACAACATTCATACTTTACGCATAAAAGCTCATATACAATGCTTTACAAAAAAAAAAAAAACATGAAAAGTGCAGTAAAGGATTCATTTCTTACATATATACATTTACTTTTAATGCCTTTCAGATTGTTCTTCTTTACAAAATATACACACAAAATTTTTATTTTGTTTTATTTTATGTATAATTTTCAGTATCTAGAATAGCTGTTACTCCATAGATTGTGTTTATTTCTTAAATGGCACAGCATCATGGTTTGCAAAAGTATCTGTATCCCTTCGAATACTGCAAATGTTCCTTCCTTATAACCATATATATAACCACAGGTGTTCAGGTTTTCCTCTGGTATTATTTGGATTATATCGACCAACACAAAGCAACGTATAACTCTAAAGTGAAGGAGAAGTTAAACAGCCTTCTGGCCCTTAACAGAATTAGAAAAGTGGAGCATCATTTTTTTTGCTCGGCGAACCTACAATCAGTGAAACTAAAATTCACTGTAACAGGATTTTATGTGATGGTCCAACACAAAAAATGGCAGGACTGGACAATTTTCCCAAAAATCTAAACTGCAATTAATTTAAACCAATATTGAGGTGCAATTTTATTTGGATGTAGATGTTTCACTCCAGGGTTTTAGTTTTTTTCATTACCCTGCATGTCCAGTCTGCAATGTTTCAGAACTTTACTGCAACCTTTGTTTAGAAAATTGCTTACATGCACAGATCTGCATGCCAGTTGGAAGTTTTTCATTTTTTGTTGGAAGCAAACCCCCTTTAAACATCTAGAAGCTAGAAGAGAGTCTTAAATGTAACATTACCAAATTTGAGTGCTTCTGCAATTTTATGGTACAAATGCAAATAATGCCCAGCCCTACAAAGTAGTGTATAATTGTGGAAACCAACTTAAAAATGCAGCTCAGTATGAAACATAGAGGAAATTGGAGGAGCTTTTCTTCAGCAGGAAAAATAAGGCTGTTCAGAGCCCAGAGGAAGATGAATGGAAGCTACAGCCGCCATTCATCTCATCCACAGTAAACTGTTGTCGAGCTCTGAACAAAATCAGACCTGAATAACCTCCTCAAGATGAAGCATCCTGCTAAAGATTGTGGGATTATGTTGCTAGATTTAGATGTGAAGGGAAAAATCTAAAATCTGGAATATGAAATCTGCGTTTCAGATCACAGGGTTGGAAAAGCCTTGTCTGGTGGTTCTGCAATGGATACAAACACAGACCTTACCATTTTTTTTTTTTATCTGTAGGAAAGTTTTCCTGTGGGAAACAACATAAAATTTAAATAAAATACAAGGAAGTTTGTAGTATTTCAAAACATTCAAAACATACAAACACATCTGCAAGGCCTGGTAAATCAAACTGAGAACATAATGCCCCATCAGGGCAAAGAAAAAGAAACTATATCATTTTCTGCTAAGATGATGAAGTAAAACATTACAGCAAAAGGCTTAACCGTTTAATAGTTTATAAAGTGTAACACCTGGAAAAATAAATCCCATTTTTATATGATTAATGTGATGAGAAGATTCTCTTTGATTATTATAAGTCGTTGAGAAATTAAAAAGCTCCTCTCTGTTAAAAAAAAGGGGTAAAAAAGGTAAATATGAAATAAAGGACATACAATAAGCTCCCAGTGGAAAGGAATAAATACGGTGAAAATGTGTCTTATAATTAACGTGGTCTGCCAGAAGGAAATATTTGCACATTGAAAATCCTCAACATTCCACACTCTTATTTTTTGATAAGTAATAACCCAAACATGAATATATACAGAAATAAATAGAGCCATGTATTACTAAAGAAAAATATGTGGCAATGTTCTAACAATTAAAAAAAACGTAGAATTTGTTTTCATCTCAGCACTGAAGAATCTACTGACAGAACGGAGACGCAGTGGGATCAAAAGTCTTGAAAACATCCTTTAGCGTTCTGTCATCCGTCTCGTCTGGATCTTTCTGCTCTGCTTCTTCTTCTAGAACCTCCTCCTTTTCATTGTGATCCTCCTCCTCTACCTCCCCCTCCTGCTCCCTGCTGATCTCCGTCTCTTCCTGTGCTCCTGCAGTGCCCTGTCCTCCTTGTTTAGCGTGCCTGGGGTCGGTGTACTGAGGCCGGATCAGCCCGGCCAGCGCCGGGATGGGGAGATTATGGACTGCGGGGGGTTTGACAGGTGAGACGGGAGGAGGCTCGCTGGGAGAAGTAGGAGGGGTTTGATTTGAGGTGACCTCTGTGCTCTTTACCTCTTCAAACGAGCCGCTGCGCTGAGTAGGCGAGAGAGATGTTGCCATGGAGATCTCCGTTTTGGACGGTTGTTTCAAAATCCCAGGTTTGTTAGGAGGTTCGACCGGCTCCTTCTGTGTCGGCTCTGTTTGGGAGCGGGGATCGTACAAGCGGATCCCCCCAAGGATTGTGGTGGGACTCTCCAGCCCTCCGTCGGAGGATGCCAACCGCGGGGCATACGGTGGCAGCCGCTCAGTTTCCGGCTTGCCTTGGGCAGCTTGGGGAGAGGAGTTACTACTGGCCTTCTGGAGCCTAGGGTCCACCAGTCCTCCCGCAGAGGAGTGATCCTTCTGGCCCAGCACTTTGGAGTCTAGACTTCCTTTACGCTTGAGTCTGGGGTCCAGAGATTTCTGCTGCCGTGGATCTATGGGTCTCTCTGTAGAGGATCGGGACTCCGTGGATCCAGTGGCGATTCGACCCAACCGTTCTTTCAAACGGGCTGCTACTAGTCTGGGGTCAGAAGGTGTAGGGCTGGAACCTACGGAATGGTCCGGAAGGTTCGTTCGGTTCATCTGAGCGTCTGCAATCAGTGGTGGAAGCGGCAGGTTGATGGAGTGCTCTTGTTTGGGAACAAGGGAAGGGATGAGGTCCTCAGGTGCCCACACCACCGTATGAGCAAAGGCAGGTCGCTGCAGCAGAATGTCCACCCGAATGTGACTGAACTGTTTCAGCTGACAGCGCGGATCCCGCAGCACCAGGCCAGGACTGGCTTCCAGCGGGATAAGAACTGCTCTATCCTTCAGCTCCCTCTCTCCTTCTACATCATCCTCACCGGTCGGAGCCTTTTGTGGAGTCGGATGACCTTGCTGGCGACCGAGATCGGTTGGTCTCACCTTCCTGGGATCTCTGGGGAGCCTCGATTCAGCGCCTGAGTCCAACTCTTTACTGGGATCTGGGAGTCGCTGTCTAGGGTCCGTCTTCATCCGAGGGTCGCTGGATGGTGCGCGTTCTTTCATGAGCCTGGGATCTCCCAGTGCTGGAGCCGCCGAAGCAGCGTGGAGAAGCTTCGATTGACTCTGCTGCATCTCATTTTGCTTTTTTAAAGATTTGAGGATGGAGGAGACACAAGAGGCCCCGTCCTCCTCGTCGCTGGAGTACCAGTTTGTTGTTTCATCTGCAGAGAAATATATACCGTTAGCAACATTCACACTTCCTGCTAAATGTTCAACTGTTTTACATTTCATAACATGACAACCACAACTTATTAGACCTTTTTTGTTTATGAGTTTCTTTAATCTGTACCTTAGGGAACGGCATTGCAAAAGGTTGCGCAAAAGTATGGTGGAAGTTGAAAAGTCACATGGATTTCACTTTTTTTTTTTTTACAAAACCCTTTCCTAAAGTGAAGTCTGAGTTCACATTTAGTCCCACTTACTCATATCTATACATGAATCACCTATACATTAATTCATTCCCCTTCTGTGCAATTTAATCTCTATATAAATCCAGCTCATCTGTGAAGGTTTTGTTAGATAACGCTAGTGAACAAACATTATCATGACGACCAGAAAGAACAGCAATCAGGTCAGATATAAGCTGTGGAGAAGTGGGCGATATCACTAAGAACTGTCTGCTGAATTGCAAAAGAATTTGCTTTGCCCCTTAAGTGAAAATCTCTCTGCTGAGTACTAATCATCACTAGAAAGTCTCTGCATAAATTCTGTCTTTATGCAGTTTTAATTACTGCAAAGATCTGGAAGAAAACCCATCTGCAACAGACTTGAGACTGACCAGTCCCAAGTATAACAAATGTTGGGCTGAGCTGACAACAATGGAAAAGAAGAATGTTTTTAGTCTCTCATGCAAAGCTGGTAGAGATATACAGCAAACAAATAAGAATGTGTTAGATCAGACACAGGGGTGCCTGAATTGATATGCACACTGCAGAGTTTTGAAAGATTTAAAAAGTTAAAGTTAAATAAAAAAACAACTAAGTTTGAGTTTGTAGCATGATATAATAAGAAAAAACACTATTTCTGCAAGACATTTAAAACGCTGCTGTGGCCTTACCTAATGTACTGTGATATTTATAGGCTTCCAGGTAGACTGTCATTTATCATTTTCATTTCTTCCATTCAGAGCATTAAACATGTCTACTTACCCCTGTTTTCACTCTTATCCAACTGTCCATCTGCTCTGTGTGGCTCCTTGCCCTGGGACTCCTGCTGCTGCTGCGTCAGATGCAACAAGATGGCCTTCTGCACCGCTGGTGGCAAAGACTGTAACTGTGACTCTGCACCCAAAAGCTGCTGAAGGCTCTGTATGAAAGCCTGACCAGGTTCCACTACAATATGAAAAAAATGCATCATAGCTTAGTAACATGCGAAGGGTTAAAAAACGTATTTAACGGCTGTTTTAGAATATCACCGACCTCCCTGTTGACCCATTGCCTGGTTTTGGAAGAGGTTGCTAAAACTGTCTGATGGGTTCTGACCAAATGATGAGAAGGACAACATGTTTTGTAACAGCTGCAGGTCTGGTGGAAATGGAGGCTTCTGCACGTTTATCTGCTGGTTGATAGCGGCTGCATGGAAGGGTGGGGGCGGACCAGTGGGGGGTGGTAGTTGCATTGGGAATCCGTGATGCGGCTGCTTTCCTGGGGGACTCTGTGGCATAGGTGGGCCAATAACAGCTGATTCAGCTGGGGCTGCAGGAGGAGGACCTGAAGCCACAGCAGCACCACCCTGCATGTCCTCTGAACCTCCACTAAACTGAGCGTCTCCATCCCCCTGGTTCTGGGTATAGCTGGAGCCACTGAAAAGTAAAGATGATTGTTAGAGTCATGAAAAGTTGGAGTTTTAGATCACGTTGATTAAAGAACACTCTGGTTACCTCAGAGCGATTTTTTGTGCCAAATCAACAGTAGGATGAACTTTAATTTCAAACAGAGAGGGAATCTTCTTGCCACAGTCTGTGGGGCTGCTCTGCCCTGGGGTGGGCAGCAACCCCACTCCAGGCGGGGGCTTTGGTAGTGGTGCGATACCCTGCTTTCTAAGATCCTCCAGCTCCAACTCGTCTTCTCTGGCATTCTCCTCCTCTGTGTTTATTATCTATCGTATGAAACAGAGGGGAAGCATTCAAATAACAGAACATCTCACTTCTGAATTTAAAGATTAGGTCTGCTTTACCTTATCAAGCAGCTCTTTCGTCACATCATTCAAAGCATCATGGGAGAATTTGCAGTTATCCCCTTGGTAACATTTGGCTCCTGTGTGAAAAAACTTGCAGGGGTATTCATGTGCAAACAAAGGTTAAGGAACCTTTTCAGGATCAGTACTTTGGCCGCTTTGTAAAAATATTCACACCCTGGAAACTTTCTAGTTTTGTTACATTAAGACCCTATAATTAAATACCTATCATTGACAGAATATTTGCATTTAACTGAACTGAGAGGCTAAAGAATAATACAAATTTATTTCAAATGTATAAAGGACTTTACACATTTTAAAAGGTAATGAAATAAAACTGATAAGTTAAAATTACCTTCCTTTAATCTGATTTCCAGTGCAATCACTTGCTAAAAGTAACCTAATTAACAAATAGAGTATCCCTTTGTATCATTTAATATCAAAACAGCTTTTTAAGGCAGCAGAGGGATGTTGGGGAACATTAGGGCCCTGTCACACCTTGTCGATTTAGACAGCGTATGCCTAACGTCCCAGAAACTTCTAAAATGCTGGCTGAACTTTCTATATATTTTTTCAAGTTTAGTCGTACATATAGCATATTCATAATGAGTCCAGAACTTATGTCCAATGACAGCCTAACTTATGCATAACACACGGCAGCGTAATGCCCATGAAATGATGCACAAGCCAAAGTCCTAAGGGGAGCAGTGATGCGCCCGGAGTCGCCCGGTCTGCATAAAAAGATGTCTTTGATCGCGATATTAACCTAGCTGCTGTTTACCACACATTCAAAAAAACAAAACAAAAAAAGAAAGAAGAGGAAAAAAGACAGAAAGAAGGTTGGCAGTCAGAGCAGATTCAGCTTCATGTGACCGACTACCTTATCCTCCTAACAATTAGTTCCTCCTTTATCTTTATCACGTATCTTAGTAAAATACAGTTTGCTGTTATAAGGTGAGGAAACATGGAAATAGTTATGTATAAAAACATTTACCAGAAACTGCTCATAAATATAAATCAGAATATTTAGTGAAGGATATTATGCATGTAAATGCAGTGGTCTCCTTTGCTGCAGTATCCTTGCAGGTAAAACTTGCAAAGCTCCTTTTTCTTATCAGGTACCACAAGCTCATGTTCAAATTTGCACTGTTCCCCCTGTGCAAAGAAAGGACAAAATATTTCAACATAAGTATCATCAGTCATCGCTGTGAAAAGAAGCTGCAGGACATTTAAGCTGCTATACCTTGATGCAGCGACCCTCAAGGAAGTACTTGCAGATGTATCTACCATTATGTTCAACTGTATGCTGACTGATGAACTCCTTGCTCATGATTGGCCATTTCTTCTGAAAGCCAGAGGAGCTTTTTCCCTCCTGTGGCAGATTATAGAAATTAAATAATTATATAACAGAAAAACAATGCATGCTGAATGAATGGCAGGGGTTGTAACAACATGCAAACTGAGTGAGTTTTCCAGGGAGAGACAGTACATACAGGTCCCATGTCTTCCATTCCCAGGTCTCCTCCTCGGCCCCGTCCACGTCCACCCCACGGTTTGCCCTTCATCTTCTTGTTCTTCATCAGCATCCCTCGCCCTCTTCCTGGTCCACTCCCTCTTCCCCTTCCTCTCTGTCCGACTGAAATAAAATTAAACAGATCTCTTCAGTAACACTGAAGTAAAAGAAAAGTAATCTGAGGAAAAAGCTGTTTGGATCTAAAAAGGATTCATACACTGTTGTTGCTTCATGCCTCTCAAGTTTCCTCTGCTCATCTGTTCCTTTGAGTAGCGTCCCCTTCCCTGACTCCCATCTTTAGACTGCTGGTACTCTGACATGTCATCTTCATAGTCCTCCTCTTCCTCTTCATAGTCGTACTTGTCATCGCTGTAGTCATCGCTGTATTTATCAAAGTCGCTGCTCTTTGGCGGAGACGACTTCTTCGAGTTTCCATGGAGTCCCTTCGAATGCTATCAGTTAAAACAAACACAGTTTTATTTTGTTTTTTTCCCAAAAACTCGCATAGTGCTGCTGATGCACAAGTAATGATGAACTCACTAGAGAGGACTGGTTCTCAGGCTCCCGGCTGTAACCTTGGCCCTTCCTGCTTTTGGGCCTTTCATAGTCTGAGTCGTAGCTGTCGGAGCTGGAGCTGCTGGAGGGAGAATGATGCTGGAGAGAGGAGGAAACGAAACCTGCTTTAGTGGAATTTAAATCAACCAAAAACAGCTTAAAATTATGCAAAAATATTCAGCTGCAGACAGAAAAGCAGCATGAAGATGTTTATTACTGATTTAGCGAATGAGAAACGACCGACTACCTTATCCCATTGGAGACAGGCAACTGTTAATGCCTCTCACAAGTAATGGAAGCGTCAAAGTTTGGTAGATAGAGATGTTTTTTCTTCTTTTACTGCTGAGAGCTGAATTCAGGACATGTGGTAGAACTATCACCTTCCTGGTGTCGAGCTAAATACGTTGAAACTCAGACTTTAGCTGCAGATCAAACCTCATCAATCCCCAACACACCCAAAATGGGCTTTATCTCTGACTCCTCCTTGTTGCTTTTGCACCTTTTTTCCTCCATGTTTTACTCTACACTATACTATCATTTATTCTGCTTGCAAGCAGTGCTCTGTTAAAAGCATACTTGTGGAAGGCGTCAGTGAAAATCTATATATACATACGTTACAATTTGGAGGGTTGAATTACTGAAATACAATTATATTTTTAATTTATATGCTTTTCAGTTTTGCCTAAAACTCATCCTGTTGTAATAATGAGGCGGCTGATAACTCACTCTTTGTCTTTCACGTTTCCTCCTTTTGGACCTCCTCTTCTCCCTCGTCTTTTTGTATCTTTTCCTCGAATGTCTGCGTCCTTTTTCTTCTTTCTCTTTAGTTTTCTCTTTTTCTTTTTCCTTCTCTTTCTCGTTGTCATCCTTCACCTCAGCGGCCTCTTTGTTCTCCTCTTCGATCTCGATGCCCTCATCATCTATTTCTCCATCTTCCAGCTCACCATCCTCCCTAAGAGAACATTTTACATTTAATGCCAAATTTGTTTTCCTTATAGGTGATATTACATAGAAAAACATAAATATTTTATTTAGAAAATAGTTAACACCCTCAGTAAAGTCAGCCTCTAAACACCGGATGTCTTCCCCACAAAGGACCAATTCTCTAGTTATTTAATACACTTTAAATCTTATCACTAACTGAAACAGCTAATATATGAAGTTTGACTTCTTTCATAACATTTGTCAAAAAAAGTATGTCCTATTTTCTCTCATCTTTATATAAACCAATGAAAACTTTTTGATTTAAGGTTCAAGAGGTTTACAGCATTTTATTAATTAATAATAATAATAATAATCTGTTATCAAAATAAGGGATAAAAAGTTTTGATTAAAATAACACTAATTAAAGTCCATAAAAAATACATCCATCAGCAGATGAATCAAAGCATAGGTGTTTTGTATAAAAAATATAACCTATTATTATTTAGGTGCAGTTTCACATCAGCATTAAACACTTTGGATCTCCTTTTAGCATTTCAGTTATAAAAGGACATCTATTACAGGACTAGATTTTGAAGGATTTGCAAAAAAATATAGAATAAATTCCAAAATATATATATTTTTGTTTTTTTTTTATTAAATAACATAACCAAACATAAATTATCCTTTAACACCTTTTGGTGAAAATACAGTAAATAAACTATAATGTATGATTATAGGAACAAATTAGAACAGCTCATTTATAATTGACTAATCAGTTCAACTGCTTATGAGAGGATAATGATTCAGCATTTTTTACCCAGTTTAAACTTGAGACATTCAGTTTGGTGTTCTCCTGCACAGCAAAAAATTAAGTATTTTTTTTCCCTCAAAATAAGAGGATTTTATTCTTGAACAGATCAGGTGAGACACTGTGCCAATGGAATAAGACAATTTATATTTAAAATAAGAAAAAAAGTGCATCATTTTATTTCAATAGTATGTAAATATGTCACCTCGGCTCCTGCAGCAAACTTTTGATATTGTTCTTATAAAGCAACATGTCTGATCTATTTATTTATGGGAGGTATAATTAGCTCTAAAAATTAAAAAACAACAGGTAAGCAAAAAGTTTGCCAAGAGGACTAGTGTAGACAAAGATCTGGACCTCTGGAATAATGTTCTTTATCTGGAAGAGTCTAAGAATTATTTGGATACTAAAACAAAGGAATTTTCCAGGGACTGCAGGGATCAAATCATTTGTGAAGCAAAGCGCAAGTGTCCCCTTTGGGGATGTTTTTCTACAGTAGAACCTGGTCAGCAGACCATCATATATAATAATCTATCAGAGGATTAAACATTAATAATATTAAATACAATATTGTTGTGATGGAAATAATTGCTATGCTTCTATTTAAAAAAAAAAGCAATCAGATTATTTTGCTATTTTCACTAAAGGTTTTTGTATTATAAGAATGTCAAAGGTTTATGCATAAACTAAATGAAGCAAATACTGAGATGATTTTTTACCTATAAATTACTTAAAATTAAATTATATAATTAAATCAGTAGCAGATGCAAGAGATCACAAGTCAAGAGGTGCACAAGATTTTTTTTCCCCTTTTTTTGTGGGGGGGGGGGGGGGGGGGGAGTTTAATAGTTGCTCAATAAAAATTTTTTTTTTTTTTTTTGCTAGGTTTCATTAAAATAAAGAGTACATAGATAAAAGCTTGGAGCTAGAGGAACCAAAGGTCAACCTTGCATGAACCCTTTCTGAGCAGTTCTGCCAGGTGACCGCCAGGGGGAGTATGGCAGCATGATGGGCGTGGTGCCTTCGTCATTAGTTATTTGCATAATGTCCTGCAGATGGCAACAACAGCTCTATGAATCCCAGCAGCATAACAACAGAACGATGAGGTCTGAAACCTCGCATGGAAATGATAATGAATCATCAAAGTGAATATGGAAAAAATAGAGGCTGTTTGCACAGATATGCACCAAATAAATGCATGCAAAAAGAATATTAAGAGGGGGAGGAACCTTGAAAATGTCTGCAATAAACATTAACACAAGCATGTAGACCCACAGCACTGAAGCGCACAGATGAGCGTATTAAGAATTGCATTAAGAACATTACTCGACCTTTCATCCCCTGCAAGTTCAGAGTCTGTCATGTTTTTGTCAAGAACGGGGGCTGGGGGACTGGAAACAAGGCTCACAGAAGCCATTTGGAGAGAGAGAGGTAAAAAAAAAATGACGGATCTGGTTATCCTTCTCCTCGGTATCAAGAGTGAATTATAACACGGTCACTCAAAGGAGACGGCTGGTTTGTGAGAGATGCTGGAAGATTTCAGACTGGAAAAGACTCACGGTGTTACATGTCTCGACAGAGACAGTAAACAGACACTCTCCTCTTTCATACTCAGTGGCGTTTTAACCCTGTGAGCACAACTCGACACCCCGCTTTGCTAATGTCCCGTCGGTTGACAGCTGCCACGGTGGAAATAGAGGAGACGGAGGGAGAAACAGACAGCAATGTAAACCATGTTCGCTGGTTTCAGCATCCTCACAGGCTTTCTCAACAAGGGATATCATCACAAAATGGCTTCTGAGTTATGCCGCACATTCCTCGACAATGACTCCACCACCTATTTATAGGCTGGACGGATCTATCTAACAGGGATAGAAAATCTCGACCGGCAATTGGTCAGAAATAGCACGCGCAAATAAACCGGTTATTGTGATTGGTTCATAGAAATGCCAGTCGATTTCAGCGAATTCATTAAAACCAACGCCTTTTTCAAGGCAGCTCTTACTGGTTTAGCTGTCTGGTTAAACTGCCATGACGCCCCTAAACGACATTTAATGTATAAAACTCATATCGATGGTAGTTGTTCTTAATCGCTCTATTGACAACATCGTATGTCTTCTCTTGTTCCTTCATCGAAGGTTGCTTGGCTATAATTGCAGAGTGACACCCCAGTTGCACTGTACAAAACGTACATATACGAGTCAGCCATATTGTGAGTGGCAAGTGCGCCATACAAATCAAAGCAAGTGTGGTTGGAAACTCTGTTTATCAATGAAATACACACTTTTACTCTAGAGCAGAAGTCTTCAACAGGGGTCCTCGGAGGTACTGCATGGGGGTCACGAAAGTTTTGGTTGATTAGACTTTATTTTTATACCCTCCCCCCCAACCCCTCCCCCCCCCCGAAAATTTTTCCACTGTCTTTAAATACACATTAACATGAATTCAACACACTAGCAAACAGATAAATGGAGGCAGAACATGTCTTTTAATCATCAATGCCAGTGGCGGTTCTAGACCAAATGTCCCAGGGGGCCAGCCGGGGGCCAGCGTGTTTTCATGGGGGCACAGGAAAGCATGAAATAAAAAACAGGGCAAGAGATTCAAACATATCAAGAGAGCTGCATGAAGTTACATTTTTATTCAATTAGATTTGACTATACAATTCCTATTTCTTATTACATCAATAAACATTCATATTTTTAAATATTGAATTTGACAAATTTTTGACTTAATTTAAGTGAAAATTACCGTTTTCTCTGAAATCTGAATTAGAATTAAATAATGTGATAATATATAAATAAAGCTGTAAAAATTAGCGCAATTTGTTTTGAAAAAAACATTTAGCAGATGAAAACTGGGATCCTATCTCAACACCACTGAAGCTATCATGTTTTTGTTTTTCATAAAAAAAAACAGGGGCACATGCCCCTGTCGGCCCCTGTCTAGAACCGCCCATGATCAATGGACACATTCAGCGACACACAGGAGCTCTTTCAAGCTGGGCACTGTTTCATTCACAACACCTGTCCCATCAGCGCGGAATCATAATCAGAAATACTTTAATAATCCCAGGGCGAAATTACTTTTGTTACATGTCTCCATCTGTAATAGAGGGACTATAGGACCAATTTGATATAACACAATTTCATACAATCTATGTTATTAGGGGGTCCCAGCTCCATCAATTTGGGGGTCCTTAGCTTGAAAAACATTGAAGACTCCTGCTCTAGAGAGTTTGTATGCATTGTTTTTGTCGCTATAGACTATGTCCACTTTAGCCTTTATTACAAAAATGCTAATCAAGACACTAATATCCAGATATGTACTAAATCTTTAAAACTTTTGAATCTTGTTTTTTAGGTAATAATTATAGTGAAGTAAGATTCATGTTTATGATAAGTTGAGTATTGTATAAAATAACAGCAAAAGAACGCAGTTACATTTTTGTATTTATTATTTTTGTTTTATTTATTTTTTCAGAAAATTGTATTCACATCTCTATTCTTCCACTCTGCAGAATCTGTTCAATCTCTAACGTTATGCTCTCTCTGCCTTTTCTCATAGTAGCTTCGCCTTGTCTGTTCCTGTTTGGCTGTGACTCCATCCTGGAGAGAAATATCAGCTGTGCTGCTGCCATCAACACCTTTGTTTACAGACGTTGTAGATCGGCCTGTTTTTCCAGTGTCCTGTTTCTCTGACTGTGACTGGCTGGATGCGTTCTCTTCATCCTCTGATATGGAAGCTCGTCTGCCTGGCTGTGTGTTTCCTGGACGGTGCCACCTTTTACAGTTGCTTTTTGTATCTCTGCTTCTGTCTCCTTGAACACCAGACGGCCTCGGCAGATGGCCGCTCACACCGAGCCTGGTTCTGCTGGAGATTTCTTCCTGTTAAAAGGGAGTTTTTCCTCTCCACTATCGCTACAAGCATGCTTAGTGTGAGGGGTTGCCTCCCAGTCAATGAATCAATGCAATCAACTGGTTTTCCTTAGATAGAAACCTTTCATCAATTTGACTGTATGATCTGGTGAACTGTAAAGTGCCTTAAGATGACATGGGTTGTGAATTGGTGCTATAGAAATAAACTGAATTTAATTGAAAAAGGTGGCAACGTCCCCCTGTGCTGATTACGCCAACGCCATACCTGCAATTCCGAAATGTAACAGCAGGTGTCGCCAAAACCCTCTAAATAAAAAAAAATGAATTGTTTTTATTTGGGAACTGCTCATGAAGTGTTTCAACAGACCGATATTCTTACAAGAGTTTCATCTTTAACTGAATATTATTTGGTTATTAAAATCAATTGTATTATATTACTCTATTAAAACATCCTGCAAAAGTAGGGAAATGTTTTTATCATATTCTTTCCATTGGGACTTCAAGTTGAAGAGATATTATATCTATTAACCGAAACTGTATTTAATTAGATTTTTTTTTTCTTCTTCTTGTCAGCTAGAGAAAAATGAAATGAGAAACTGCATAAAGTCTCTGTGTGGGAGGGATTCTAGCTGAAGCAACAAAAGGGCAGCCTGCAGAGCTCAGAGAGGCTGGGATAAACTTTCCAAGAGGACAGACGAGGAAAAAAGCGCATCTCTGTTTCGGACACCTGATGGGCATCGTCTCATATTTGAACCGTCTCATTGTCTTTATGCGAATTTTGTTTAGGATAATGAAAAACGGAAGTCGCACAATTATTTAAAGGGACATCGACAGGAACTGCAGGTTTTGTTTTTCAGAAATGGCTTTGTCTATTAGAAGCAGGTGTTTGATTTTGCTGTGTTTGACAACTCTTCACTGCGGCCATGCAGCTCTTCAGGTAAGAGGAATTTAGTTTATTCACTTTTGAAGAATAGAATTGAATCATATTTATAAATATATCCAGAAACAAAAAGTGATTACTGTACACTTGTAAAATATTTCTTTAAAACATTTTGTCAGATTAAAACTGAACTCTTAAATTCATTTTATGTTATTAGACCAACTTGAAATATTTGCAAAATTTTAAAAACAAAATAAGGGTTTGACTTTTTAGACACACACAAAGGCCCTACATTCTTCTACTAATTCCACCATTGGTAGAGCCACCTTTGCTGCACTTACAGCCACTAGACCTTTAATAACTGTATTTATTTTTTATTTGCGTAGTTCTAACACATACATATACTTTGAAGAAATGGTTCCTCCAGCTTCATGTTTGGGGTCTGTGTCCTGCTGAAAAACAAAACCCCCAGCCCAATATCAATCTTTTCCATCCCCTGAAAGGCTTTCATTCACGATTTCTCTATACAGTATCTATCCCAATCCATCCCCAAATCTACTTCAATCAACTTCCCTGAACCCAGTGTAAAAAGCATCCCAAAGCATGATGCTTCCACCACTATGTTACACTGTTGGGATGGTGTGTGTATATGCAGTGTTAACTCTTCGCCATATAAAGTGCCAGAAAAATCATGATGCATCACTGAACCCGTCATTCACTGAACGTTATTGATACTGAGACCATCCTACATAAACACACTATGCATGCCTAGCTATCTAGGTTGTAGGATGCAAGCAGCTGCCCCTCCAAATGTGGAAATTGGATGGATGAATTAAATCACTCACAGATTAGCTCTGTTTAATTTTTAAGGTGACTTCCTTGATGGCTCTTGATTGGATTGGATAATTTTTAGGGATACTAGAGTAATGGGGGGCTGAATACATACCGTATACATCACAATCTTCAGGTTTTGATTTCTAAAACGTTTTTACTGTCATGTGTAGTTTTTGCTTCCGCTTTACAATTTTTGCCCTACAGCTTATATCACATAATCACAATTTAATACATTGGAATTTGCACTAAAAAATTGTGAAAAACTTTAAAATTATGTAATTTTTCCACTAAAAGTAACTCTAAAAAGGAAATTATCCCCATATTTTAGCTTGTAAACAAACAAAATTTACTTCTGGATATGAATCTTCCCATGTCTTGTCAGCTGGTGGCACATCCCTTTGCCTGGAGTAGGTAAAATAAGCACAGGCTAGACCGAGCTGCAGTTCTAATGTACTGAGACTAATTGCAATTGTACAAAGTTTTCCGTATGCCAGAGGAGGAATTTAAGGTATGCTGCAAAGGGAAATTGTCCCAGTGAGCTTGTGATTAACAACCCTTCTAAAAGGATTAGAGGCACTTTCTTTGAGGAATTTTGTAATGGTTTGGGTCTAGAGCTTTTTCCTCAAAGGAAGTGTGACAGCCATGCTATTTTTGAGCTGGATCATCCAGTGAGCCTGCCCCTTCACCTGCGGTCATGCAAAAGATACAGAGGAACAGCAGTTTGGACTAAGTTTCCTCTAACATCTCCCAGACAGCTTTTGTCCAGCTGTGCCTGCCACTGTGGTTGTGGTAGTGGAAGTGAAAGGAGGTGAGGGGAGTAATAAACCAAGATGGTTTATGAGAAAGCTGCAGGGTCTGACATCAAAACAGATCAAGGCGAGTCTTAAAATATATCTATTAATATGGTTTTAATTATAAGGAACCGTTTGTAACCATGAGAACTCTGTTTTAATGTTAAAACATCTGGATGATGTATTAATTCACCATTCGTGATTTGACCCCATTAGACGAAATTAACCATTTCCCTTTATGCATCCATTGTATTCTGAGATCTTCTTTTTTACGCCAAGACTCCTCCACACTACTCTTTGGTTCATGGCCCCTCGTGTTTTACCAGCAGTCCTGCATGGATAAGCACCAGGTGGTCGGGGTGCTGCGTCAGATGGAGAAGTTCTTGAAAGGCCAGGAGATTCGGTTTACAGAGGGTCTCCGGATAATGAAGTCAAAACTGGCATCACTTCAGAACTCCGTGTCCAAGTTACCTCAAGCTGATCAGTCGGCTGGTGAGTAATTAGACATGAATCATCTCTGTAGGAGATAACTTTAAGAAAAAGAAATATATTTTTACATTATGTTAAGTCCTAATAAGTCTTGGCATTGCAGGAGAGTGAATTAGTATTTATACCGATATGATATAATTTGTGGTAAGGAATAAAATTAAAACCTTGAATTTTCTGCTTTTAGAAAAGTAGATGCTTTCAAATTTCAAATGTTATACAATATACCTTAGATATCTCTTTATTAATAGATTTTCGTAATGGAATTCTTAACAACATGCTAGATAAGTATCCCGACATTCTACAAAGATTTTCACAGCAAAGACTTTCAGGTCAAATTATCATTTACTATGCAGTAAAGGCTAAAGAAAGTTTTATATTGTACTTTCAAAATTGATGATATCCCTTGACGGTTTTCACATTTTACACCGAAAAACTTTAATGCACTCTATTAAAATTGTATCTGATAGACCAACATTAGGTACTGTAGAAATGGACAGGGTCAATTAGAAAAGGAGCCAAGAAGCTCATGGTAACTTGGAGGAGCTACAGAGATCCACAGCTCTGAAGGAAAATTACTGACTATATATTAGCCATCCACTAGTCTAATTTGATATGACTGCACTTACAGTCTTGCATTTTAAGATATTCTGAGCTGCTTATAAAATGAACCCTTAAGAAGACATTTTCACTGTACATAAGCCTAAACACACTGATTACCATGATGAAAAATAATATTGTCAGCGTTATGCTGTGGATGCTATTAATAAACAGACAGGGAAGGATTGAAACTTTTTTTTTTCAATAAAAAATTTAAATTGATTAAAAATAGTGACGATCGGTGTTTGTTTTACACTGTTCAACTGACGTGATGCAACTGCAGGATCGTTCTGCATATGGGAAAATACAAATCAATCAAAACACTTTCCACAAACCGAAGGAAGTATAATGGACACAGGCATGTTGGTTGTGAGGGACGTTGTGTTCTACTCCTTTTACTGTTATTGAACAGGGTGAGTAAATAATGCTCTCCTAATGCAAAGTCCTGGTACTACGAGAGTGGGCCACTTCAGGACAAATCGAGATTGCTGATTGGTCAGTTGGTGATTACCCTCCGGGATCAATTGAATATTCTCATTTTAATGGGCGAAACCAAAACCAATTGCATGTCTTAACATTTGTGCATACTAAAAAATCAATTGCACATGTAATTTGGTGGCCCTTATTGGAAGTAAAATGCAACAGTTTGTATGGAATACTATTTGTGTTAGAATGGAGTCCGGATCTAGACTTAACTGAGACTCTGCTGCATAACTTAAAACATTCTTTTTTCCAGTTTTTTTGTCCAATCTGAATGGAATGAGCCATTTTACTGAAAGAATGTGGGCAGCTGGTAGAGGCATACTTCAAAAGGTTTGTGGAAGTAAATGAGGCAAAAAGCTGCACAAAGCATCAATGCAGTGGGCTTTATACAAATGCTCATCCCACTTCACACATCTTTACAAATCCTAAATCTGTGTTTGGGGTTATACCTTCTCTAAAAATGAAAAGTGTTAGGGCTATGGATACTTTTACAAGTTAATGCATCCAGTCTATGTTGGAGGTTTCCACTGAAGGACAGTCAAGTGGAAGAAAACCAAATATTCCATAATATCAGGTTTACGATACTTTTGGAGCAACTCCCTTGTCAAAGTTGATCTTCAAACGGGATTCTTACTCAGTGAGTGACAACAGAAAGCCAGATGAAGCTTCCTGGGTTATTGGATAATGGAGTCATTCAGCAGTTCAAGGCTTTCTCAGTTACAGAGCTTGGTACTTGACAGAGGAAGTGGATTTGTGGAATTGTGTTGCTTGGCAGCGGACTCTGGGACAAATTTGTTCATGAGGGACCATCCAGCTCATAACTCTCTGAGGAGGGCTGCAGAGGACAGGAGGAGGAGGCTGATATTTTATACAGAGCAATAAAACCTCAGACAAATGAAGAGATGGAAAGACACACAAATAGGCTAAAAATCATATACTTTTTACACTTACACATTTATAAGCCAGCTTCATTTTTCCAGCGAATACACTGAGATGTAGGGGGACCTAAACAATCGAAATATCAGAGTTGGATAGATGATAGTTGTTTCACCTGTACTGCTTAAGGATAATTAATGTAATGTTTTTTTTCTGATTTAGCATGACAATAGCTGAAGATCTTTGTAATATTGAGGAAGGCAATTATACTTCTTAGCTGCTCTGGTGAAGATCGTTAATGGAAGTATAAACCGATTCAGCATTATTGCATTTTAGGGACCATAATGAGTATCCCTATTCTTTATACTTTATACATTTGTTTTGAAAAAAGATGAACTTTATATTCTCCCACAACATTTCAAAAGATTGGAGCACCTGGGGAGAAAGATAGAAAGGTCTTTAACTTTTGACCATAAAAAAATCTCTTTAGATGCTGTAAATTCAGAGACTTCCATTGTCAATTATCCATCCATCTTGTACTGCTTGTCCATCAGAGTCGGGATGTGATGTGGGCAAATCGCAGGATACACCCTGGACTGGTTGCCAGTCTTGCAGAGCATTGTGAACTATTCTAAGCTGACTTCACCCTTCTTCTTTAAGATATAGGTCGTAGGTGACCATCAAAGATTGGTTTGTGCCTCCTAAACCATTTCTATGTAGCTTTCTTGATATGATTTTGATCTCTTTGCTGTTGGAAGAATCAGTGACAGCTTCAGGTTCTTTTCTGTATCTCAAAGTCCTATGCATGGTCACAAGGCTCTACAAACCTTTGGAAAATAAAGAAGCCTAGTTAACACAATGTGCTTTTTCACATATTAACTATCTAGAATGTTTGTAAATAGAATATCTCTCCTCACTAAAGTGCAAAATCCCGTTAAATTGGCCAGTGAATTAGTTACTCCAGATTTTCTACTTTTTATTTTGTGATGATAAGACAGAAAAGCCTCTTGCTTTTATTACTTATTTCTAAAAAAAAATCTTTCCATCTTCCTTAATGAGTGTGTGGACAGATGTAGCACCTCCCTCCTCCAGGTTAAGTTTTCAAAGTCAAAATTTTAAATTAATCATTGCTGTTGTCAGATATGGGTGCATTTATGTGTATTGCCTATTTATTTTCTTCTATTTCTGAAATGCAACGATAAAAATACATCTAACTTATCTTAAAAATAGCACTTTCTATCCTTTTGCCCTGTTTGAAAGAGTGTATATGTGATTCTGTTTTATGCCATATTTAAACCCCAAGAAACCAGGTCATCCTGGCTAAGCACCAAAATAAATTACAGACTTGCTCTCAGTGTATCACCACTCCGACTTTGCAGGTCTTCTGGTTTAAGTCTTCTCTTCATACCCAGAACTAGAAAAGAATGTAGAGAAGCAACTTTCACTTCTTATGATCCACTAACCTGGAACAAATTCATAGAAAAATGTAAACTGCTGAAACCCTAAGCCGCTTAAAATCATTTGTAAAGAGTTGCCTTCTACTCTGCTATCTAAACATTAGTAGTTTAAGTTTGTAGACTAATCTTCTCCAGGTTCTTTCTAGTTCTTGCCTGAGGCTTTGGTGTTTATCCCATTTCTCTGGTTCTTTTTTCCTGATGTTCCCATCCTTAGGCATGGCCACATTGACCCCTATGGCTGCTTATCAATGATCTGGTTGGGTTGGCTACTAGCATTTTGTCTGTTTGTATCTAATACTCACAGGATCTTAGCTCAGTTATTCTCAACCACCATGGAAGGTTGCTCCCATTTTGTTGCTCCATGTTGTATTCTGGATAGATGCTTCAGTACAATACACCAGCCATTTGGCTAAAGCATTACATGCATTCCCTTCCTGCTAGCATCTTACACACTGCTATAAGATGTAGTGTTATTTCAAAGGCCTCTCTGCATAGCCTGCACCTGAGACCTGGGTTCCTTTTTCTCTGCTTCTCAAGTCCTGTTCCTGTGAGGCAATGATCAGTGCTTCTCTGCTGTCCTTCAGTCCGACCCACTATACCAGGGGTGTCAAACTGGTTCCAGAAAGGGCCGTGTGGCTGCAGGTTTTCTTTCCAACCAAGCAATAGCACACCAGACTCCAGTCGTCTCATTAAGGGGTTCCAATCTGAACATGATGACTTGATGAGATGAATGAAGTCTGGTGTGCTATTGCTTGGCTGGAAATAAAACATGTAGCCACACGGCCCTTTCTGGAATCAGTTTGACACCCCTGCACTATACCCATTGGAAGGATTTGATTATATCAGCCAATTCAGCTATCTGTTGGTGGTATAGGTGTCAAAACCACTGTCATGGATGAAAACAGTACAGGAACAACTGTACTGAATAAGGTCTGGAACTAGTGGTGGTGCTCAAGCAGAGGAATAAGGTGGTGGTGATCAATTTTGCAATACCAAGTGACATCAGAAAGAAGGAACAGGGAAACCTCAGGTAACAATCAGGGCTGAGAGAAGACCTAGAAGACCTAGAGAGGATGTGGAAGGCACAACATCCGAGATCTCCATCCAGAAAGCCACAGTCCTTGGAAAAGGTAAAATTCCGTGCAGGATCCTCGATCAGTTTGAAAGGCAAAAGCACCATCAGGAGTTTATAAAAGAATCTCTCAATAGATAATTTTTTATGGCTACTGGTTGTTTTATAATCGAAGGAAATCTTGATTTTCGAAGGATTACTAATTCTCTTAAAATATGTTGGTGTTTTTATTTATTCTTTTGTTCTTTTATTCTGAACTGTAAAACATGTTCAGAAAATGTTTAGTTAGACAGACGTGTCCTGTTGTTTACTTAAAAAAGGATTGGAAATTACTAAAATTTTGTGAAAGGTTAACTGTCTAAATGTTTTTTGTTTAAATCACGAAAGCAGAAAAACAAACATCTAACTGCAGGAGGTTACCTTGGAGGAAGAACAGGAGTCTCATTAAAGCCAAAAAAATCTTTTCCAATAACAGTGTTATATAATTTGATTATTCAACTTTCAAGCATAATAGCTGAAATAAATTTTGACTTGTAGGACTTAACTGACCCATAACAGTGGTGGGTACTGCACTGGTTGACTGTAAATGAGGCGTTCTTACATTTGTTTTCTATGAACGATCTATGCTGCCCAGTGACACGTGTATATCCCCAGGCCAGGAATGCCAGAGGATGTTGGGAGGCTTACTGCACATGTGACCCTACTTCCTCTCATGCTCTTTCTTTCTCCCGCAGCTCCGACCACCTGCCCCTCCTTAGAAGCCCCTGCTCATGGAACAAAATTCGGCTCAAAGCATTTTGTTGGGCATGAAGTCCATTTCACTTGCTCACAGGGGTTCCAGCTTATCGGTTCTTCCACCCGGGTTTGTCGAGACAATGGCACCTGGTCTGGTGTCAGTGCAATTTGTAAAGGTGAGGTACAGTTGAAGAATACTGTAATATGTTGTGATCTGCCATTTATTCTAAAAGTACCTTTTTATCTCCTTCTTGTCCTAATATATCACTAAAACTATTAGGAGGTATGAAGTAATTATTTTTTAGGTTACTGAGAGAAACTTCAACTCAGAAAACCAAACAGATGTGCACAGATAAAGGAGAAATAAAAAGTCTTTCTTCAGAGGGACTGGAATTCTTTGGTGTTTTGAATGAATGACTTGTTAAATTGGGATTGAATGTCTGTGAACACAGAATAACACCTGCACTACATTCCACTGAGGGGTGCTTTCCCCTGTTGGTTTCTTTCTTTATTACCAACAGAGCCTGGGCTACTGTAAGATAAGCCACCAGGCATCAGCACCCCTCCCTGCTGCTCATGTTTCTGCAATTCTTTGTCAGACATCCTAAGATGGGGTTAGGGCCAACCATCATAACCAGAGTAGGGTCTGATAGCTCAGAAGTATGCCAGGCATGCTACTGATAGTAATTTCTGCCTGAACTGATCGCAGGTTTCTCTAAAATATTTCAAGTATCACACTCAGTTGAACATGAACATAGATTTATTGACTTTACTCGTTGAAATAACATGATGGGGCTTGATTCTGCAAAGCATAGGATTCCAGTTCATGTTTTTCTACTCAGCAGAAAAGCTACATGTTTACTTATTTCTCAAAAAATCATTTACAGAGAGCAAGAATCCCCTAAATACTAAAAGAAGTTTAAAAATATCGCATAGAGTGCAGCATGTCTTTTCATGACATGGTCCAGTGGTAACCACCAGAGAAGCCAAATAAATATTAAAGGGACTGCTTGTCATTCGGTTTACAGTTGAGAGGGTAGCAGCTGCTTGTAATTTCTACATTTTTTTATTTAGGGGTGAATTTGAGTCTATTTACATTGAGCTCATTGCAGAGTGGAGTCCATGCAATATGTATTGGAGAGTGTTTTTGTGTTGCATTTTGTAAGATTTTTATAAAAACCAAAACTTTCCCTGGCAAAATAAAGCTTAAATTTGCACTAATAAAAATAATAGATGTTTTTTTTGAGGCAATCATCACTAAATATGTTTGCTGAATGAAAATTACTGAGTCTATACCGATGTCTTTATTTTATTTCAAAAAGTAAAACAAAAATTGTGGTTCATACAAAGTTATTTATGCCCCTGACACCATCAAAGCATTGCAACGCCGGAAAAAAAGGTTCTATCTATTCATCTTTGCAAAACAACTCGATCTCGGTCACATTAATGGCCTCTGTTAATTCATTTTTGTCACCAATTCACAGCTGGATTTTTTTACAAAGCAAAATGTTAGATTATGTGTTGGTGTTGTAAGTTGAAAGTACAGGGTAAATTCCTTACTCTTGTTTAGTCTAATTCAACTACACGGGAGTTCATTTCTCCAAAGAGTTGCTATTAACCTGGGGAGTTAAATAAATCATCTCAGTGCATAAAGAGCATTTATAGAGTTTCTTCTAGAATGACCTATGTAATGTGTTTGCTGGAAGACCAGAACAACTCTTAGAGTGAGACAGCGGCAAAAAACAAGTTTTATTGAGTGATGTCATTAGCTTTATGCAGTAAAATGGTGAGCTAATGAGTAAAGTGACAGGGCTGGGCCAGAGAATCCCAGCTCTGTCTGCCTCAATCAGTGTTGTAAAATCAACAGTCTTGTCATTTTGCGTGAGAACTTTTTCTTTATTTTATTGTCTTTGAGTAAGACACTTCACCACCATCGGCTTCTAATGGTGATCAGAGGGCCATGGAACACCAGTTTCCACCGGCCTTGCTTCTGTCAGTGTGCTCCAAGATAGCTGCAGCTACAATTTACTTTAGTATGTAAATGTGTGGGTGAATGACTAACACCGGTGTAAATTGTAAAAAGATAACACCACACATTAGGGATCAATGAAATCAAAACTAGTGTTTAATATTAAGTTTTGACAATTTGCACTGGTGTTAAATAAATATCAAACTATTTTGTTCAAATGAATTCAGTTTATTTAAATGGCACCAATTCACAATACATTTTATCTCAAGGGACCTTAAAGAGATAATACAGTCAAATTGGTAAGGAAAACCAGCTGATTGCATCCAGTCATTGATTTGCAAACATGCTCCTCCTGGATGAGCCTGTTGGGACAAACTTTGATTACATTTTGCCATTGAATCCTCGGCAATCCCTCACACCGAGGATGCATGTAACGACAGTGGAGAGGAAAACTCCCTTTTAACAGAAGGAAACCTCCAGCAGAACCAGAACCAGGCTCAGTGTGAGCGGACATCTGTGGAAGTTGACTGGGCTTCAATGAGATAGAAACAGACATAGAAAAAGAGGCAGATATACATCTCGTCCAGGAAACACACAGCCAGGCAGATGAGCTCCAAGCCAATTCTGCTAGTTACAGTAAAAGAAACAGGACTACACTGGAAACAGGCCAAGCTCCAATATCTATAAACAGAGATGTTCATGGCAGCAGAATAGCTGATAATTTTATCCAGGATGGTGTCACAGCCAAACAGGAAGAGAATATAAATAGAATAAATCAGAATTTGAAAAAGTGGTTCCTATGTCATCCAGCAGCCCACATAAATAGCAGCACAAATACAGAAAGCAGCACAAGATAATCTATCTATCTCTGTCTAACCTTTTCTATTTTAACTGCGTAACACTTTTAATCATGTAATATTAACTAAACAATCTTTAGTGTACCAAAAAATTATATTCATAATTTCCAAATAGACTAAACTATTCAGCTATTTAATTCAATGATTACAAAATTTAGAACAATAAATCCAATTTTTCCAACAATTACAAGATATTAAGCCATTATACCAAGTAAGTTTTTATTCTTGCTTGAGTATTTCTTTGGATGAAAACTTTCTACTTTTTCTTAAGTCTAAAAACGTGTTTAAATAGTGCTACTCTTTATTGAGGAAAAATTTTAGGTATTCTCCTCTGCACACAGGTGAGCTTGTGTTGGTGAACTTCTAAGCAGATTTTTGCACTGTATTTCATAATGCAATTAGTTATGCATATGCACAACATTTTCAGATGGTTATCTTTTAACTGGTAATTCCTAAACCTATACAGAATATATTTTCCACCTAACTATGCACTGCTTTGTGTCGGACTATTCCGTAAAGTCTCAATGAAATATATTGAAGCGTGTGCTCCAGGATAATAAATACTTTTACAAGGCGATGTACATCTGAAATCGTAATCAAGAAGATTTTTTTCTTACAGCAGAACCAGGCATAATAAAATACTTCATATGTTTTAAAATGCCTTAAAAAGTTGCATGTTGGCACAAGGACCTTCCATCAATAAAAATGATCTAATAATTGTTGAATGTCAGTGGTGAAATCAAAAGCTTTCCGGTCTGGAATTCCAGCCCCTTATGTAAAAGGTTTATATGTTACTTCGGACATTTATGTTGTCACTTCAAAAAAATGAGAGGATATTTCTTTATTTTTTATATCTGCAGATATAAGTGAGTGTGTGAGTAACCCCTGCCAAAATGGAGGTACGTGTGTGGAAGGTGTAAACCAATACAAATGCACCTGCCCCCATAACTGGAGCGGCTCCCACTGCCAGCACCAAACCCAAACTGGTGAGTAACCATATGTGTTGCTTGGTTTATTTGGAGCTGCATGTCAGTCTGCTAATGCTCTTTTAACTGTGTCCTGTTTGATGCAGCACCGCCCGAATGGAGTGTGATGAACGATCCGGCGTTTAGTCGGAGACCTCGCTGTGCCCAAATCAACCAAGCCCAGCACTGCAGCTGTGATGCAGGCTTCCACATGAGTGGCACGTCTGACAACAGCATCTGCCAGGGTGAGCTGTAATGATTGGTTAACTTAATTAATCCCTGTGGGGAAATTCTCCTTTGGCTGGTTATCCTCCTTGGAATATAAGGTCAGCCACAGAGCAGCTCCCTGTGACTGCAGGGTTCGCTGCAAATCGCAGATGTTGAACAGACTTTATAGCAGAAAAATATCACTGAAGGCCAAAAAAACTTTTTCTCTTCTGGCTGCAACAGGCAGAGCAATGTGTGAAGCGGGTCTGCACTAAACCATTTAATCCTCTTGAATATCCCGAGCTGATTAGCATACATTTAGGTCAGAGTTTAGTTGTTTATGTCTTTACTTCACGAGTTCTGAAAGAAGAGGGATTGTTTTTCAGGAGTAGCTAAGAAAGAGGCTGTGCAAAAGTATTTGTGGAAGATTAAAGTAAACAGTAAATTTTTTCTTTTTTTGCAGATGTTAATGAATGTGAAGTGTATCGGTTGGACCAAGGAGGGAAACTCTGCTTCCATGAGTGTGTGAACATCCCTGGGTCATACCACTGCTCCTGTCCTGTTGGTTACAAGTTACTTCCAGATGGGCGGACCTGTGAAGGTGAGTGACAGGGTGGAGCTGAGGACAAAGGCTCATTCACGTGCCTTTGGCTGCAGAACTGCCACGGTATGCATGTCCATAGAGCATGATATCTGTTCTTTCACCAGAGATGTCTGTCTAATGCCCTAGTTTGCTTTCATACTTCACCCCTAAAGGTAATGGTGCTTTGCAGCTGGAAAACATGACCTCACGTTTTTCCTGCAAAAACACATTCAACAGAAACTAAAATAAAAATAAAAAAACCTAAAAGGCCACAGAACACCAACCCCACCCCAGTATCCACACCATGAACCAGGGTGTCAGTCCTTTGCCACTGCTGTTTGTCTTCCAGATGTGGATGAGTGTTTAAGCCAGAAGCATAACTGTAGCAGAGGTACGTCTTGCATCAACACTGGGGGAAGCTTTCGATGCGTCAACCCTGAGTGTCCCCGTTCCCATGGCAACATCAGCTACGTCAAGACAACTCCTTTGTAAGTGGACACAGCCCAGAAGTACTAAAAAAATAATTGAAACATGACTTCCACAACTGTGGCAAAAAAACAACATATTTTGACCTCCTCAGGGTTTTCCAGATAAAATATTTGGAGGGAAATTCTGGTTGGGTTTTATATGAGATGGAATTTAGATGAGAAGACTTAGGCTTTGTTTGGTTTTTGTGAAGTGAAAAGAAGACCATGGTGAAAGATGTGTACCAAGTTTTTTTGTGGTTGTTTCTCAGTTTTTTTTTTTAGCACTTTCTTTCATTTCAGATGTTTATGCACATTTTGTATATTAGCTGAGCTGCCTTTTAAATTGTATTTTTTACCATCCCTATTCAAGGTTCTGACAAGTTTACCTGAAATTTGGCTCATTCCTCCTGACAGAACTGGTGTTCGGAGTTATGTGTTTATTGATCAGTTTGTTTGCTTTCTATTGAACATTTTTATAATAACTTTTAATATACATTTTGCATAAAAAATAAATTAGAAATATTCTTTAATTTCCAAGTGTTCTTATGTTTAGCACATTTAAACTACATCATGCCTACAGTGATAAGTCTGAACAGTTTCTAAACTTGGATTTGTTCTGTGTTACCTTTTTTACTGGAGGATCTTCATTATGTATTTTTATTTCCCTTAAAGTTGCACACACATTTGTTGTAACCTAATGGAGTCTGTCTGATTGAACTTGTATCTTTTTATCCTGCAGTCAGTGTGAGAGAAACCCCTGTCCCATGAACAGCCGCTCCTGCCATCTGGCTCCTAAGACCCTGTCGTTCCACTACCTGTCCCTTCCCTCCAACCTGCAGACTCCTGCCACGCTGTTCCGCATGGCAACCGCAGCCGCCCCCGGCCGTACAGGACCAGACAGCCTGCGCTTCGGTATAGCTGGGGGGAACTCCCGAGGCATCTTCGTCATGCAGCGCTCAGACAGACAGACAGGTGAGCTGATACTGGTACAGCAGCTTCGTGGGCCTCATGAGGTCAGTGTCGATGTGGAGATGTCCGAATACGCTGATCGCAGCTTTCAGGCCAAACACGTTGCAAAAGTCCACATTCTAGTTTCGCCTTATAATTTCTGAGGGTGAACCTGGAGGAGAAGCACAGCTCAAAGAACTTTGCAGGAACAAGGAAGAGCGCACAAAGGCCACCAAGGTGGAAAAGAAAATGTGTAAGCCGTCACACATGCTTTAATACATCTTTCTAATATGGTCTAAAAATGAGGGCTGGTTGTTGTACACTGTCATAAAAAAATATACATATCCTCTTTTGTTGCTTATTTGGTGCAAATAAATGTTTCAGGTCATTAATCATTTTCTAATGTCAGACAAAAATCCTGTTTTCAAATGGTGATTTAATATACTAAGGGAAAATAGCTCAACACATTCTTTGCCCCTTTTCTAAATCATAAATAGATTTTAATTAACTAAAGATGTATAAGACCTAAGTTGAATTTTACCAGCAAGTCACAGTTCAGATATCGGCTGTTTATAAGGACGTGTCTCTCAAATGATGTAGGCTAAATGAAGTACTGTAGGCTAAAAAACAACAGGCTATGTCCTGATTTAAAGAAATCCAAGAGGAGAATAGAAAAGTAAATCATCTTGGTGTTGAAAGGTTAAGCATAGATTTAATCTAAGGGTCTAGTCTATTGCAAACCATTAATTGCATATAGAGAAAGCATTGAAAAGTGGTGAGAACAACAAAATGACATCAAAAGAGGTAAATATGACTATGGATTAAAAAAGGCATGCACTAGGAAGTCAGAAGGCCAAAACTACAGCTAACTAAAATAGAAATAAAATAAATATTTTGTGAACTTATGAGATAAAAGTATAAAGCTCTGAAAAGTCTGCATTCTATTACATCTGGTGTAAAACTACCATAGTATGTCAAAGAAAGACCATCATCCTGAGAGTCTGACATGGAGGTCATCTTGGGACAGTTTTTTTGTTTGTTTTGCCTGAATGATTTCCTGTAATTGATGTAACCAAGAAATCATTTTCCATGAGAATGCTGAACCATAGATTTGTGACCTTAGGCTCAAACTTCTACATTATGCATCAAGGCAGAAATATTACCTCTGACTCAAAAAACCATGAAGGTTTCAAACAGGTCTAGTCAAAACCAAGAAAAAATAAAACATTCAATGTGGCTGAATGCCTAGGTTCATTTTGATAGAATTTCCTTTAATGAATAAAAATATTCATCTAGGAATATCAGTTATTTTCAGTCACAAGCTATATGTTTTCACAGCAGCATAATTCATATAATCTGGGTCAAGAGAATCATTATGTATGTGTAGAAGCTGATGTAGAAGCCTGATAAACATCCCTACATGACATCAGGGCTTGTTTTAGCTCTAATTTATTGGAAACATTCTTGGTGGATTTTAAAGTGTAACTAACATCTTATGTGCAAATCTTACCCTATACTGTTTATTGTGATTTTGTTTTTTGTTTTGCCAAAGCTTGCATTGATGTTCATCTAGCAGCAGCGTTTATCTCTTAATGTCATAATCTGTATGTTATGCAGAGATACTCAGATTTTTTTCACAGTGCAGTCAGACTGTTTCTGACATGTTACACAAACCCTCTGATATTCTAAAAATCTCAAACATTGCCACAATAAAGCCACTCTGATATTTCAACACGTATTAGAAGTGCTTTTCTTGAAGCAAGACAGTGGACAATTAAATGTCCTGATGGTGGTATTTGTTTCATTCAGCTAGCACTGGGGATTGAATTATAATGAGTGAAATGCAAACCCTTGCATAGCTGATAAATGAAGGTTGGATTGCTGCAAAAGGCCTTCTTGATGAAAGGATAAAAGGGTAGGGAGGAATGTGTTCTCAATAATGTAACCCATGAAGGAAAAAATCTCCTTGGTGATACAAGTCAAAGCATTACCCAAATGTCTTGGAGGGGGGAAAAAAACACTGTGACTATTTTTATTTGACTTACATATAAGGAACAGCAACTGTCACATCTTAAGAACATATCTCATTGCATATTTTTATCATTGAGAAAAAAAAAAGAAGCTAATGCTCACCACATGTTTTCTTAACTGGCCACACCGTCCTCCTCTCTTGTCTCCATCCAGGGGTTTACGTCGCAATAAAAGAGGCCAAGAGAGCTGCATGCTTTCAGAAAAATCAAAACACGTGTCCCGACGTTACACTCTTCTCCTCAGATGACTACGTGCCTCAGAGGCAGTGATAACCAAATTTTAGGTTGCTAAGTACGCTTCAGTCCTACACACGGGCTGTTTGAAGTTCACCATTTTAAGTAGAAAGGAAACTACATGAGAAATATGCAAGGCTTAGAGCTGTTAAAGAGCCGCTTTTTCACGTTATCACATTGCAGCTACAGTGTGAAAGCAGGAAAATAAAGATTTTAAATAAATAAAAAATGATGAATAGGGAGTCAGCTGCCTTACTTTGATACCTTTGCATAAAATCCATAATTTAAAGGGAGCGATATGCACTTAGTGTGTAAAATTAGAACAACAAACAAAACTGATATTTTTCTCCTGGATGATGTCACAGCTGAACAGGGCCAGATCAGCTACTAGGATGAGAAAAAGCAGAGAGATTATAAAGTTATAAGCGGAACTAACAAGCACTGCGGAATGGCACAACATAAAAAGAATAAAGAAGATTGAAGTAATGTGGTCCCTATGTCCTCCAGCAGTCTAGGTCTATAGCAGCATAACTAAAGCGATAGCTCTGGATAACCTGAGCCACTTTAACTATATGCTTTGTCAAAGAGAAAAGTTTTAAGTTTATTGTTAAAAGCAGACAAGTTTACCTCCCTCACAGACTAAAACTGGTTGATGAGAACACATGTATGTGTTAGAATGGCCTAGTCCAAGTCCAGACCAGAATAAAAATGTATCATCTGTGGTAAGACTTGAAGAGTGATGTTTAAAGATGCTCTCCATGTTTTCTTGCTGAGTTTGTGGCTCTATTTAGGAATATTAATACTTTTGAAAACTCAGTAATACACAGAATGACAAAAAGTAAAGTGCTTTCTTACACCTGTAACACCTTACATTTTACCCCTTGTAAACAAAGTAAACAGAAGTATATGAATGTGGGTTATTATTCAAATGATACTTGAAAAGAGCTTCCGTGAACTTTATTATCCCGATTTGCGGTGAACCTTCCTGCAACTGGTGCTAGTCAGCATTGTTCTGCAATTTTTGTTACTTACAGCAAGTTTTTTCTGTGTACATATCCTGAAACTGAACTCAGCTAAACAGTATTGACTATAGGAATCCAATTTTAAGTCTCAGCAGAACTGAAGTAATCTAATAACTGCTGAACAGAAGGCTTAATGATGTGCATAACAACAAAAAACAAAGGAGTACATGTTAAACTGGGATCCACTGTTGTCCACCAACAAAGGTTTGATGTTAAAGCTCCACAAAACATAACTTAGAAGTCAGTAAGGATGGTTTAACAGATCCGACTAATATGCATTACTGCAACAAAAATGTATAAGTGTGGCTACAGATATATTTCACTGTCTGAAGTTGCATTTACCTATGCGTGATGCCATATTAATTTATTCCTCAGCAGTTTATCTGAATTATTATATTCTAGTTTTAGATATTCAATCCAACCAGGTCAAAGTAAATTAAATAAAAAAAATCACTATCAATAATCCTTTATCGAGCTACACCTCAATTTGATGATTTATCTCATTTAGGTTTAACTAATTCTTTTGGTTTTCTGGTATAGACCTAGTAGCCCACACCATGATCCTACCACACCCATGCTTGATGGTTGGTTAACTACTTTTTGGTCTGAAATTCATACCACCTTCATGTTATTGCAGGCAGATAACAGAATCCTTGATGTGGTCATAAAGCTCTCCCTAAATTTTCCTCCATAAAAGTGGTAGTTTGGGTCAGTTGAATGATCAAACACGCTTCTGAATTCAAAAAAATATTTATTGAGTGTTGTACAGATTGTGAAAAAAGGACACCCTGATGTTGCAGGGTTCAACTGCAATACTTCGGGTCAATTTCAGAAAGGAAAAAGACAAAAAAAAAAAAATCTCTTATCCAAACACTTCCCGCTGTGGAATCATTAAAAAAAACAGAACTGAGCGAAAACACACCTGTGCAAATAATCTGAGGTCGGCAGCAGGTGTCTGCAGTTTTATATCGCAGAGCAGTTTGCCATCATAAGCACAAATATTTCCAGGTTTCCAACCAATACAAAAAATGCAATGAAGATATTATAAAGCCACTCATGTGGTCAGCCTACTTTATGCTGACCAAATTACCTACAATGTGTGATGACGTCGCCAAGACAAACGGAATGAGTCAAGCTGTTACATTTATAAAAAAAACCGAAAGGAGACACACGGAAGTCTGGCAGGCCAGTCATTTCAGAAAGCTGAAAAAGATTTAAAACTGAACGAGCATGGATGTTACTGAGTTTTTTTGTTAGCCGGATCATTTTAATCAGTAAAGACCACAAACCTGAAGCAGACCACATATTTAGGATACTGCAGACTCCAAATGGAAACACGCTGTAAACACACTGTACAGTAAACAGACATAAACACAACTGATTAACGTATAAGTTCACTTGAAACAGAAATAAATAAGGAAATAACCTAATTTCGTATGAAACAGACACACACCACATTGTGCCAAACCCCATCCTGCAACCCACACCCATACAGTAGTTTCAAACATGATCATCTCTATTTCTACTGCAGCTACAATAACATTAAACCCTAAACTTCTCTTTTTTCTCTCCAACAATCGCTAACTCTCTGGATGCTGGGCCGTTTTAATTAGAGACACAAAAAACTCTTTCACTCATGCTGTTCTCAGACACCCCCCACAAAGAAAGCACAGACATATAGGCACAGCTTTGATACTGAAAGTGCATAGAGCAAATGATTTATGCAAAATCATCGTGTTGCAGTTTACATCATTTTTTTTTATAGCTTTCCATTTTAGGTCTGAATGAAAACAAAATGTCCAGGAAATTCCTGATGCATTCAAAACAGATTCTCCTGCCTTCTATAAACATCAGGAAGTTCAATGGTGTAGTTTAAATCTTTAAATTATCTCCCATCTTATATATATATATATATATATATATATATATATATATATATATATATATATATATGCTTATGCATGAGGCCCATTCAACTAAAATACATCTTTAGTGTACAGATAGAAATTATTATATAGCTGGATAAAAAAAGGAAATACTCTCTTTGCCAAGCTCAAAAATTATCGAAGATTGGGAAATTGTGAATCGCTTGGTCTGCAAAAAGAAAAGAAATGTACATTTCTGAAAACATTGCCAGAAAAAAAGCAAAAGAACAGCAACATTATTTTGTTAAAAAACTGTGTTGCCTGCACTACTACCCTGTAAAGTAGCAGCTACTCAGGAGGATGTCTTGAAAAAAAGACAAAAACAATGGCCCTCCGCCAACTTCCGCTAAAAACAATCCTGATGGAGACTCTGGAGCAGCTGCTGTGTCTATCCATCACTTCATCACTCCAGCTTTGACATCTCAAACTTTGTCGTCATAATTTCCTAAAAAGTATCAAAAAATTGTTTCAATTACTTATTGTTTCATCGAAATATCACACATTAACCCAAACAAAACCATTCAGAATCATCTGATACTCATAATCGATTAGCCATTAGCAATAGCAGATAATTTTGCTAATGCACTACCAAAGGAAAAAATATTTTCTGCAGGCTAGGTGCCAATAATAATTGTGGTAGCTGTATTTGATACACTAATCATTTTGTGTTTTTTTAGCAATGCTTCTCATACCTCGTCTGAGTCGAGCAGGACTGGAAGGGCTCTGTGGGGACAGGATGAAAAGAAGAAAACAGAAAATTAAATCTATGACAAAAAAATATTTTACTACACTACTAAGGATGCTTACACATCAGTAAGAGAGCTAGGAATGTTGTCCTCCACCCATTTCAAATCTTCCTCCTGATTGAATAGAACAAAGAATCAGATCAAATGCCGCCATCTACTGGTACAAGACTCAGATGCAGATATATTGCTCTCATTTTGCTTCCATTATTTCAAGCTGTCATTTATGGCCAAGGCTGAGTAATCAAGTCATGACAAAATCTATTTAATGCTGAAGCATTACTCACCGGGTTTGTTTCTGGAAGCTTTGCAGTGCCATTTGTCTCAGTTTTAGCCGCTCTCAACTTTATACCATCGGCTGTAATGCGGGAGAGAATTCAATTGAAACACATTTATACCAAAAAAGGACGACGTATTTACAATTTTTCAGAAAAAGCTTTCATGTTAAAAACCGTACCAATGTTTGAAGATGCGATGAACTCAATCTCATCATCATCAGAGTCATCGATGAGAGGTGTGAACGCATATCTGCTGGTACAGAAAAAAATAGTAATAATAAATATTTCACGGGCTGAATCAGAGGGTGTTTGTTTGGGGGCACTATCTGTTTGAAAGTTTTTTCTGATATGAAACACGGGGTGTGTCATATCATATCAGGCTCCTTTTATCTTGACTGTTTGAAATTACCTCTGGTTGTTTGCTGAAGGCCGCCATAAAAACATTATAACAAGCAGAACAAAGGAGAACAGGAATCTCCAGAAAGCATCCTCCACCCAAACCTCGATCCAGTCCTAAGAATAAAAACATATGGAATTTTTCCAAACCCTCAAAAATAAGCATTAAAAAAATTAACAGTATGACATTAAAAATAAGTAAGGCATACTTACAGACTGGCAATTTGCAAGGTGCAACTTTTTAGCAGACCAAACCATAAAGATGACAGATGCTAAAAGGAAAAGGTGAAAGTGAAAAACTGCAGCACTTATAAGATTTTATGCAGATTTAAAAAAAAGTTAGGATCTACGGCCAAAACATCACAGTAATAAGAGGTGAAGTTAGCAAGCTGCATGTAAAACAGCTGGATCCCAAAACATTTATGTAAAAAAATACCAGACTCAGCTTTTCTGATTTTTTATTTTTTTTTTTTTAAACTACAGAATATTGAAGTTCACAAAAAAACTTAACAGCTTGCTTGAACAACAACATTACCTCTAAATTGACAGCACTCTATTTGCATGCATCCATGGTTCAACTAAACACTTGGAACAACTCAGAGAACATATGTTTAAAGGTCTTTATTTGTCTTTAAAATCCCTGGATTATAAACTGATAAATTCAGAATAAGAGCAAGCACAATCTGCAGGAAACTTTCCTTACATCCCCTAAAAGCCTGAAGATCAATTTAAAAACATCTGGAACCCAGAACTCAGTCCGATCCAAGTTTATTTTAGATGTCCTGATTGGTCAAAGGGGTAAAAAGACCTGATTTACTTATTTTGTCTAATTGTAGTGCTGGCTACGCTCAAAGGTACCGGTAATCCTTTTTTTTTTTGGAGATGCATAAAATAAACTGTACTTTTTACCAGCTGCATAATCTTTCTAAAATACTGAGAAAATGCATCCCTTATTTTGATAGGATGATAAATCCTGCACATTAAAACCATTTATGCATTAATTTGGTCCAGACACAGAGGTCTAATTTTCTTTTAGCAACAGGTCACTAGGATGGACGATGAGCCATAAAGATCTTGCCATGATAAAGCCTGCGAGTCTCCATTAGAACAATTAGATACTATAATGATAAGCAAAAAAAAATAAAAAAATTTCTGTCCTACCAATAACAGCATGTAAAGCCATGTTTTCAGTTGAATGAGGCGAAGAGTAACCTTATAGGCAACAAAAGAGTGGGTTTTACATGTAACAAAGGAGGAATTTCTCATGCCTACTATTAAAAAAGGTGGAGGCTCTGTGATGCTGTGGACCTCTTTCCATTCCAGTGTTTTTCTTTTTCATTTTGGTCTTTGAAAAGCATTAATAATCCAAAACATTTGGCCAAATCTTCTGGAAAGAGCTGATGAAGGTTCTCAGTCATCGAGGTCATAGTCATTCTGTAAAAATTCAAAAAATATCCACTGGTCTTGGTTTCCAAGATTTGAAGACGTTTCGCCACCTCTCCAGGAAGCTTTCTCAATTCAAATGTTTGAATTTAGAAAGCTTCCTGGAGAGGTGGCGAAACGTCTTCAAATCTTGGAAACCAAGTCCAGTGGATATTTTTTGAATTTTAACGGAACTTCTGGAAAGAGAAAGCATCATGTATCCTTTTGTTCTGTGAGCATTGAGAGGTGGAGGACAATAATTATACCACCAGCAATTTTGTTAAATTCAGGGTTTTTCTTTTCCTTACATTTCTCACAATTGGATGAGAGTTTGCCACTGAAATAAAGGTTGAATAGTTTTTGCCCTTTTGCGCATCTTTTTTCATACAAGGGGGAAAACAATGCAGGTTAGGAAAGTAACTTTGCTTTATTACTACAGGTTCAGTACTTACCAATGACAGCAAATATGAGCGTGTTTGTAAAGTGTCTGTAGAGAGAAAGCTTCACTGGGTTTCTCCTCAGCTTCAGAGTCTTGATGGTTTGTGCTAAGCTGACAAAGATGTAGCAGTGGCAGTCAAGGGAAATAAATAGCAGGAATCATATGGAAAAGAAATGCTAAACGGATCCATTTGGACCCTTTAGATTAAAGTGATGCATTTACTGTAGCTGAGACTAAATAGTGGTCTGAGCTCAAGCAGTGGTTCCTGCTAAAGTCTGGGCTACTTCATTTAAATTATAACCATTTTCCAGTTCTAAATCCAAAAAGCTCCTGGGTTCGCTAATAGATATGTGCAGTGACCAAACTAACTACAAAGAACAATACATGGGGAAAATTTTATTCTCTGCTTTTTATACTATTAGGGTGTTATTAATTCCTTGATGTTTGGTCAGCTTTCAACGGACCAGACATTGTTTAATCATTTGTCTGGACCCACTATTTACAGTGGAATAGGTCCACTTCCTAAAAACAATCCCAGGGGTGTTTGATTCAGGTCTGTGAGTGACTTTGTTTACAGGTTATGGTTTACTTGCAAAAAGTAGAATAAGAAAGCAAACCAGACAAGAGAAATAAGGGTTTGCCTAGACCTAATGTATGAATACACTCCATAAATCATGCATGTTGCTAAGAAAGCACAGCATTGTGTAATAGATATAATAGTTTTTACATCAGAAGGGAATTTTTATGAAATATGGGAGACTGAGATATTATTTGAAGTGTCTTTTTTTTTCTATACAGGATCACACTGCAGAAGATCTGGTAATTTTTTTCATCTTAGGTCATTGTTGTTGTTGTTTTCCACCTCCCCAGGTCCAGGTTAGCAGTTTCTGGCGAGACTGCTGCCCCCGCAACCCGATAAAATATTAATCTCTGGAGTCAAATTGGAGACTCAAACTAAAGCCAATCCTTCATGTACCATTACTAGGCCTGCTAATTATTTTACCCTTTACCTAAAACTATGATGTTAAGATACTCATAGGTGAATACATTTTGTTATTGCCAATTTTTTGTACATTTACCAAAGAAAATATTTCTTATTCGAAGGGCTTTAACCATTATAACTCATACAATCATTTTTATGTAAACCTGGGATATAAAACTTAAATGACATCTTTACAATCAACGACAGCAGGTCATGATGAAAAACAACTTATTTAGAGATTTAAAGGTTCAGTTTGACATCAAATGCACTGTTTGAAAAACATGACACAGACTGTAAATATGGGAAAATGTCATCATGCACAGGAGAGGATAAGAGAACAGTTGCATTGTCATACAAAAAAAAAAAAAACAAGCAGGTAGAGATTCAAATAATAATGTGTATTATTTCTCATCAGATGCCAGGTAAATGCTACAATGATCCTAAATTACTTTGAAATTAACCGATGAAAGTTTTGAGGAGTAAAAAGGAACCCTGAAGGGAAAGGTTGTAGGAGCACAAAAGGATATCCACCAGCATAAAGAGGAATCAAGCAGAGCCAGGGGAATGTTTGCCAACAGGGCCAAGTCTGAGTCTTTGGTCTGGAGTGGATCAAAGTGCAAACGACACACAAAAAAGAAGAGAAAGATGAGGGGGAAAAAATCAGAGATCGGATGGGAGATAAGAGAGGCAGCAAAGAACCCCAAACAAATGAGTATTTACCCAGGTGAAATAAAGAAACCAATCATCAAACCCCAAAAGGAGAGACATCCAAATTCCACCGACACAGTACACGACCACTTCATGTTTCATTAAGAGCTGATTACTGCTGATGAGTTTACTGAAAGGATATGAACCAGATGGCGCAGGAATCAAACACAGCCAGAACAATGGCTGTAATGAGAGCGGGGCCATTGTCTCGACCCTTCAGTATGAGTCCCAAAACATATCGAGAAAAACACATTGTGATGTCACGTTTAAGCCGGAACACAATCACATCTAAACTATGTCATGTTTTAAATGCCGTATTTTGCTTTGCTAAATATTTAGTTGATTATTGCAACTTCTCCCCCATTTAGCTATTTATTAGTTTTTAAATAATGATTTATTAGGTTTGTTTCATACAAGTAATTTTCAGAAAGATCTAGAGAGAGGTCGACTCACCCCTGTAATCCTCAAGACGCCCTCAACGCTTGCGAATCCAAAGTAGAGGATGCCGAGTCCCACGACTCTGTGCATCACTGTTCCAAGCCTTGGCCTGGAAAAAAAAAACAAAAACAAAACACAGAAACGTAAAGATAAATGCTTAATTTCATACAAAACCAAAACTGGATGGTTTCTTTGAAATGACACACTTTATAATGCCATAGCCAAGGCTGACGATGATGACAAGCAGTCGTGCCAAAGTCCTTTTCAGAGCAGAGACCAACTCAGCAAAGATCAACAAGCCAGGAGCTGCAGCAAAAGAAACAAGAAGCAATAAGATTTCAAATTGATCTGTGAAGAACATTTAAAACAACAAGTTGTTACCAAATTGCTGAACAATAATAGAAACGTTTATTGGTAAAATAAATATACAGTATATATGTAAAAACTAAAAATAGACATTTAATACTCAACATGTGTCAAACACTAGAGATTCAAACACTGGACAGAAAGACGTCTGTATGATGTTGGAAGGGAAATTACCCTTAAATAAATTTATTTCTGAACTTGTTTTTAAGGCAACCAAGAGGAATTACCGAATACAGATGCCCTCAGAAGAAAAGTAGATCCACCGTTGTGTTTGGTGAACATTACATTCTGATATTGTGAACCATTTACTAGCATATGCAGTGTAGTAACTAGCAGCCATGATATTGCATGTTGCTGACTCTGTGTAGCTTCCTCATTGACTGAAAAAGATATTTGCAAAGTCATTGGAGAGTTCAAAGAGGTCTATCTTTCTGTGAGAAATGGATGTCAGTTATAAATAAAATAAAGAAATTAATTGAACTTTACTGATCTCACAATGGAGAAATTAACTCTCTGCATCTAACCCGTCCCCTTTGGGGAGCAGTGGGCTGCCATTGTGCGGCACCCATGGAGCAATTGGGGGTTAAGACCCAGAGAGGCAGTCTGTGGGGATGGGCTTCAAACTCACAACCTCAGAAACCAAGCCCTATGCCCTAACCACTAGGCCGCCACTCCCCCCTTAATTAATCAATCTGCCCTTATTTAAGCATGAAGGCAGCAGATCGATTACCAGAGTAAAAATCTTACTTTTTGTAGGATTCTACTCATTGGATTTTACCTTAACTTAAAAAAGTGCAGTCTCAAACATAGACCATTTTCTGAGGTAAACTTTAAGTATTTTGAATTAAAAGAAACTCTGGTTATTGCAGGCTAAAAACCAAACCACCTTTTTTTCTTCTTCCTCTGCACCATGATTGGCATCATTTCTTGACCAAAACCTTATTTGCATTTTTATCAGGTTTTTACTCTCCAAGCTCAGGATACCTTGGAGTTACACCTTAATAACTAATTACACCCTCTGATCGCAGGCACGGTCACCTTGAGTACAGAAGTCCCAAACAGACAATGCAGCGATGCATGGGGAGATGTTGCTTATGATTGTGTGTTGCACAGTAGTTCTACGGGCTCCATCGTGCTACAAGTTTTCTTCACATAACTGAGGGAGGAAATGGATTACAGGAAAGTTCTTTCTTGCGCGACAATAAATGCAAAACGTTCTGAAAACATATTGCACAATATTAGTGAGTCAGGTTGTCATTTCCTGTTTCCTAACTGCATCAGAGTCTCCCACAAACACAGTGTGTCTGAACCTCTGTGTTGAGCTCCAAGAAAATGTGGATCTTCTAGACAGACAAAATTAACATTAAACAGTTGTCTATCAAATCCCAAGACCCAAATAAAATAAAAGCTGCTGGGGTGACATTAAACCCAAAAACAAAAGTTAGTCAACTTCCTCAATGAATTTTCAGAAGCAGTCGTTACACAACTAAATATTATCCCAGTCTTTTACAGGCTATCTTTAAGCAATATTCAGGTTATATAGAGATTTGACTTTCCAAAGAAATGCTAAGTTGGTGCTGCTTTTTAAAGTGTAATGTTCCTTTGAAACAATTATTTTGAGATAAAAAAATTTTATATAAAATGACTTACATCTTAAAAGATAAAACACCTAATAACACCTTTGATATTTTCCAGAATAAAAAAGGTTCGGCCTATAAATCAGGCTAAATTTACCTGGACCTCCTCAGACTGAAGAAGTTTCCAGGACAAAACGTTTCAACAAAGAAGATCCAGGGAACCAATTTAACCTATTTTATGACTTTTCTACTTGGATTTAGGGCTGGGCGATATGGAAAAAAAACTATATCACGATATGGATTATTTTATATCACAATAACGATATATATCACGATATACCACAACTGATGTTGCATTTTATGTTTTCATAGTCCGTCAGATGGACAGGGTTGAAAAAAATCTTTCATCGCCTATTTTTTACCCATCATCATCTGGGTGACGTAAAGCGGTGTAGTGTCGCAAAACCACGTTCTCTACACATTATCTTTTTATTCTCTTTTTTTTTCGTTATATATACTTAGAGTTTGCATAGCAAAAACGCAAAATGTTATATTAACAAATTATATTAAAATGTATATTAGCAGTAATAATAATAATAATAAAAAAGTTTATCACGATAGAAAAAATAGAGGAGAAAGGTCACGATAGACATGTTTCTCTCGTCCTCACGATATATATCGCCATATCGCCCAGCTCTACTTGGATTATTGAGATTAGGGCTGAAACAATTAATCAGATTAATCGATTAATGAAAGAAACGTCCCTAATTTCGTAATCAAGTAATTGTTAACTGGAATAAAGAGATTCAAAAACAAGCCTTTAGCTGACAGATCAACCTACATAGAGTAGTAATTATTCCAAGATTGTAAAAAAGATATATATATATATATATATATATATATATATATATATATATATATATATATATATATATATATATATATGAACATTTTGCATTTAAAATAAAAAAAAAATAAAAATCTTTATCCATATGCTCTATCTAGAACTCCTCAAGAGTTCCACCTGGTTTAATTGTGCAAAAAGCCTTTAATGAGTCTTTGGCTATCTGATTTTAATTTCTAAAAAATAATCAAAAGATTAATCAATTTGTAAAATAATCATTAGTTGCAGCCATAATTTAGATTAATCAGGATATTAGACCACTATATCGTACAATGCCTTATCAATTTAATCACACTTTGACACTTGTACCTTTTCGGTACCTTCATGTTTCCAAATGTGCATTCTCTTTTTTTAAGTGTATAGTTTAAACACTTTGAATTAATTGTGTAGGAATTGTGTTATACAAAAAACTCTCTTACAACCATCTCCAATGCATTCAGTCATTTGGACCTTAACATTTTAAACACATCTATTAGGGTTTGTATATTTAAGCAGCTTCTATCTTAAACAAGAATGGCATAATTGGTGTGACTGTCGTAAGAAACTCACAAGCCGAGCCGACGCCGTTGGTGTTTTCATATTCAGCACAGAAGACGGCCTTCTCCACCATGCCGAGGAAAATGACGCCTGCTATCCAGAACTGGATCCTCAGCAGATCTTTCCAGTAGCAGGCCGCCCAGATGAACCACAGCAAGGCGTACAGGATGTAAACCACACACATCACCATGTAAAACTACAAACAAACAGAAAAATAGAGGACAGTCAGATGTCACACATGAAGGCAATTCAAAATTTACTATAAACTAATATCATAAGGTGTTTTATATAGCAAACTTATATAGATCTAGTTTTTATTTTAGAAATTCAAGCATTATTTATTAAAGACAGAATGAAAATTTTTAGTTACATGACTGTTATAGTTAATAATAAATCTTATAAATTTTTTAATGAAATAACAATCAACCGATTTAACAATCAAATAATCGTTTGTAGTCTAAAGGCTCTAAAACAGGTTTGGTGAAGGAACCTACTCAGAGGAGCAATGAAGCCAAACTTCTACAATAGATATTTACATTTTGCCTTGAGATAAAGATCCTCCTTGGTCAGTAAATATGCTCCATCCAAAACTTATTTTGACATTTCAGGACCCCATAGTACTACTTTTTTAGAGGTTCAGTTAGGAAAGGATTCTTTTTTGAAGTAAACTTAAAAAAACAAATGCTAGATTAATTCATGACTAAAATAACCAATAGCTGCTGCACTACATATAATACACGTATCAAAAAAAATTATAAAATTAGAACAGATCCATAAAGTCTCTACTTACGATCATGAGCGGCCACTCTGTGATAGAAATGAAGCCATGGCTGCCTTTCATCACCACATTGACTAAAAAACAAAACAAAAACACAAGTCTAAGCATCAGATAAACCCCGTAAAAATCCAAACATAACATTTCTCTACACCAGCTGATTTCTAAGTCATTTTTTTATTAAATATCCCACCTGTTAAATTCCATTTGGCCTCCTTTATACTGGAGTTAACCTTAACAACCAGCAGGTAAGGCCCGTCCCTCCATGTAGTAGCTATAACGTTCGCTTTGGTGCTGTTCATGTTGTACTCGACTGAAATCCATTCTGGGTCGCTGTTTTTCTGCATAGTTTGACAAGCAAAGGAGAAGTTACCAGTTTTAACATCAAAGAAAATATAAATAACATCCCCCCCTGAATAGCATAATGGTCACGGACACAGACTTTTAATACAGATTCAGACTTAAAAACGAGACTTAAATGAAATACCAGGCCGTGTAGGAGGACTGAATTTAAAACTTTAGTTTTTCTGTGCTTTTATTAAGTAAAAAAGCAAATCGTACGTAGCGTAACTAGTACCTTACTCTCTGCAGGACGTGGTTTAGCCATGGCTTTCTGAAAAAAAAACCCCAAAAAAAAGACACTGGATCATGAAAAATGTTGTTATTAAACATGTAAATAAATGCGCTGAAGAACAAACAGCAAACCTACGTTGAGCCCAGTTAAGGAGAGTGGGTCCTTTTTGCATGGTACCGGACTGTGTATGTGTTCTATGTACTCGCCCGGCGCGTTAGGTTTAGGGTCCAGGTTATCCCCGTGGCTTAGTGGCGCCCTTTCATACATCTCCTACAGGACATCAAAATCAGAACTAAGCATTAAGTTGTAATGTTCGCAAGAAAAACTGCACAGGTGAACCAGACAAGAACTTATTTTACTTACCTCAATATTATTATATTCATTGTAACAGGAGTAATATTTCAAAAGCCAGTGGATTGTTATTTTCACCTCCTTGGAACAACTACAAGACACAACTGAGAGATGAAGATATTTTTTTAATAAAATAAAAGTAAAAGCACAGAACACAGCAAAAGTCTAGGTTAAGATTAGGCTTGGTTTTATATATAAAGGCTAATACACTTCCCACTTCAGCTCTTTGGACAGCTTTAAATCATCACGCTGTGGAGACTAAGCAGGTATCCCTGCAAACAAGGTCTATAAACTATTGTCATTTATAAATACTAATAGAAAATATGTATAAAACAATTTTTACATAATTTCATTAAACTCCGATCCAGAACCACATGTCCTTCTCGGGGATACAGGCAGAGGAAAGGATTTCATCCCCTAAAACCTCACAACCAAACTAAGCAATGTTGGAAGTAGGGTTCAGTTATTTTTAAAAGATAAAGGTTATGTCTAAAGAGGCATTTCCCCCTGTCCTTCCCACAACCAGACTGCATAGTATCTAGCAAATATGAGATTGCTCTACTTCATGCTAGAAGACTAAAAATAATATAAGCCTAAGATATTCAGAACAATAAAGCCATGACAATAACATTTTGCGAGCTTCTTTATTATTTATAACATCATCAATAAATGTTAAAGAACATTTTACTCAACTATAGCATACCATGATGATCTTAGAATAGCCCATGCCTGTTCTCAGGTCAGAAAGTAACATAACAATTAAGTCTTACCTTTCAGGACAACATCTGTGTCTTTAAACATAGCTTTCTTTAATATTAGTGGCCTGGAATCCTGCAAAACATTAAATAAAAAATGCCAGTAAAAATGCAGTGAGATGAATAATAGGTTAGTGGTTAAATAATGTTGAAATCAAGCCTCTTTTAAATAGAAAATTTAGGATCTGTCTGTACTGCATTGAAGTAAAAGAGGTGTTCAGAAGATAAACAAAGTGGTTTCCATATGGTTCAGCTTGTCCTAGAGATCAAGTAATAAAGTAGAGGAAACTGGATCTCCTCAGATCTCTACCTGCATTATTTATTGATGAAGATGTCCTGATTCTCTAAGAAGTCTCTAAGAACTGAACCATCATAGTTATAAACATTAGGACTCAGCTTTGAATGATGCAGGGAGGCTAACAGATAAAGTAAAGGACACAGACCTGAAAACAGCCAAACGTTAACAGAGACAAATCAATTACCTTAAGATTATTTTCGAAATATAACGAAAAAAAAGTTAAACTTTAAAGCTGGAAGGTGCTAGTTTGCATCAGCTAATTATAGAATATTTACTAGCATTTCGCTTAAGGCTAACTGCTAATAAGCTAAAAACATTCTGCTTGAACTTTTATCAGTTTAGCGAAGAAAATGGCCATCTTATATTAATATATGATTAAATTGACTATCCAAATGACTGTTTTCATTTAAAGCACACATTAAACTAATTAGTTAAAATGTAAAGACTAGTGTAGCTAACGTTAGCTTAAGGTGCTGCAATTGTCTGCACTATTTCCAGGTGATACTTACATCAGTAACCTCAATGGTCCATTTCCCTGTTTCTGGTGATGCGGCTGCTTCATGTATACCACTGTGTAAAGCTATGAAAAACAGCATCCATTGATAAAACAGTCCTAAGCCTGGAAACCTCCACGTCCTCATCCTGACAGCAGCTGCCATGTTTGTTCATGACGTTACGAGCACTGCCCTGTAGGAGGCGCTCTGAACGCACCACAAGAAAAAAGAAATCAAAAAGTATTTTTGTTACATTTAGTATGGTACTACAGAAGAGGATTAGGGCCACCGAAAAAATAGAACGGTTAACTGATTGTTATATTTTATTTCAGTATAATATGAGAAAGAAAATACGGAATTCTGACTTTAATCTCAGAATTCTGACTTTAACCTCAGAATTCTGACTTTAACCTCAGAATTTTTTTTTCTCATGTTATACTGAAATAAAATTTAAAATCAGTTAACCTTTTTTTATTTTTTCAGTGGCCCTAATCCTCTTCCATACTTTAGTACTTCATTTAGCAAAACTTTCATGTTATTTTAACCCTGTAATTCCAAATGTATCTGATACATACGGTTTCTGAAATGTTTTGCGTCTGACACCTTTTGCATAATTTAATGGTAAAAACTTTGCTCAAAATCCTATTGTACACAATCAGATATACCTGTTAACAGAGGGCAGAAGACTACACAAAAAATAATCTTGACTTATCGCAAAGTAATAAATTATTAATATCAAAAATGTATTTCTGTTTTTTCTTTTTACATATTTTGTTAAAAGGCCAAATAAGGACTTCAAACCAAAAACAAGTAATTTTCTGTTTTGTTTTATTCTTGGATCGGGCTTTAAAGGGTTAAAAGGCATGAACAATTGTGAACAGAACAATTCTCTTACAATGATTTCAGGGCCAAGGACCCCCAAAATGATGGCGAGATGGAGCGTGGACCCGTAATTATATATATTGTATGAAATTGTGTTATATCAAACTGGTTCTATAGTCACTTTATTACACATGGAGTAATGTAACGAAAGTAATTTCGCACTGGGATTATTAAAGTATTCCTGATTCTGATTCCTCTTTGTGAATGAAATGGTGTCCAGCTTGAAAGAGCTCCCGAATGTGTGCAATGATGACTGAAAGACATATTTTGCCTCCATTGATCTGTTTACTACAGTGTGTTGAATTCATGCTAATGTGTATTTAAAGACATTTAAATAAGTGGAAAAAATTGCAGGGGGGAATAAAAAAAAGTCTAATCAACCAAAACTTCCGCGACCCCCATGCAATACCTTCGTGGAGGGTCGCAGACCCCCTGTTGAAGAACTCCGCTTTAAGGTATTAAACCAATCACAAAATATACAGAGTGCCCAAAGCATGAATGTGTCCCTGCATATTCACTTATCAATAAACTGAGAGTTAGTCATACTATTAGTCTAGTCATACCATTAAGCACATAACCAACTAGGGAACTTAGTTTTTGATAAATAAGTATTACATTTCTTAGGGAAATCCCAAGCAAAACAACTTTCTCAGAATGTCAGAGATGCACTCTTAATTTGGTTGAAATTCTTATATTATCACAAATAAAGTATATGATTATTTAGTAGACATAGAATACTGCATTCTGCAGAATATCAATGAATTGAGAAAATATTCCACAGACCAGTGTATAGAGGCCTTGGTCCTGATGTCTTTCTTGCTGCATGTCTTCTAACTCTCTATCTCTACTCTTAACAAAAAAGGCTGCTTCCACAAAAACAAAAACAAAAAACAATTTGACCAAAATAATAATTTCACTATCATTAATTCTCTTTGGACATTTCTCAGAGACATTATGTAATTGTCATAGGTTTTTGCCTTCCACAAACATGGAAATCTAAGGGATATGATCCAAATAAAAGGAACTTGGAAATACACATAATGTGTTTTTATCAATATTTTTACCTATATTTCCTATAAATACGACAGTAATTGAGTCACATAATTGCGGTTCAGTCTTTATGGCACAAAATTTATTTTTACAACAAAAGATTTCTTTATAAACACTCTGTACATTTCCATATTTACACTGAATCCCATTTATTCAAATCCGACAACAGGTTCACAGTTCAGAGAAGCTTATCAAAATATATCCTTAAACATGTTTCGAGTTGAGGTAAATTAAATATTCCAGACACTAAAACACAAGCTGGCCATACTGAAGCTAATACTGCTCATAATAACAAGATCCAGGGCATGGTTGTGGGCAAGTTGTTAATGCTGGTGAACTTTGGTGAGAGGTCCATTGCTGTTATAGGAATCATTTTAACAGGAATGAATCGTCATCTGAGCTGTGTTCCACTGCCGCCGCATCCAACGTTTGATCTTCATTTGTTCGACTCAAAGTGTCCCTTGATAAAAGCGGAGTCTCCACTGAGGGGGATCTTAAGGTATTATTAGAAGAGACCACCACTACGTAACGTTCACTGTCCTCATTATCCTCCTCCTCCACCTCCTCCTCCCTCTGCTGCTTGTATCCATGAATATCTGCAGTAACAACAGCGTTCTCTGCTACCCGACGGCTGCAGGATGGGGTGGAGCTTAACGCAAAGCATGCAGCAGCCACTTCTTCCCCAGGGTCCTCATCAGGAAAGCTGGTGTTAATATAAATAATATCCTCTCTACTGGAAGACTCTGGAAGCTTTTCTGCCAGCTTTTCCAACATTTCTCGCAGTTGTGGAAACAAGGGTCTGTCCACCGGATCAGCTCTCCAGCAGCTGTACATGATCTCATACCTATGCAGTGGGATTAAAAGGAAACAGTCATGTATTTTTACTTTGAAAAAAAGAAATAGCCCATGTACATTTTATACTGAAGAAAAAATATGTATGAATGGAAAAATAAATGATAAAATCATTTGTTTAGCCCCAAGGAGCAGTCTGCTTCATCCTGTTTTTTTTCATTATAAAGAGGCATTCTCTACTAATCTACAGTCTTCTATGTTCCTGTTCATTGTAAGTGGGTTAAACAAAGTTAGATGCAGCTTTTGAGTTTTAAATGCAAAGATAAATTTGCTGTTGTGACCATCAAATTGCCTTTAATTTTGGTCACTTCTGGGTGCTAGAAATCCAGGTCTTAACATGCTCAAAAGGCAATGTCCAGACTGTGAGATGCTGCCATTTATTATGCACACACACTGAATGCGATCCGGATTCCTGTGTGCCCGCTATGGCAGCGTGCAAAGGAAATGGTCATATCGATCCATATATGGATATAATGTTTTTTTTACAGAGAGCTTTAAAAAAAAAAAAAACCTTTACCTCCCCACACCCTTATCTTGAGTTCACCCACGGCGCCACCATCGTAGAGCAAAAATATAGAGTAACAATTCACAAACAAACCAATTAGCGCCACCAAACCAATGTATTGTAACTAAATAAAATAGATCCAAACAACCCCTGGACACAGAACTACAAATGTCAGTTTTGACTAAAATATTTTGGTGGCTGCACCTACTAGATTTTCCTGCTGTGTAAATCCAGAAATAACTGTCTAAAATATGTCAATTTTAGGTAAAGAGCTTTTGTCCAGGTATCTACTAGAAGGGAAACTTTTTAATAAAGTTACTTGTGCAAGTCCTACCTGCATATTCTTTTATATTTCAAAAGGGGTTGTTATGCTATGGAGTGATATGTTATAGTAGGTTATATATCTCATATAACTCAATATTCCACCTTTATTTTTGAAAAACAGCCAAATTAGGCAATATATTTTATTATTTGAAATGATTTTGACTGAATAAACACTCACAGTTCATCCAAACAGTTGGGTGGCTGCTTCAGTCTGTGGCCCTCCACAAGATAATCATAAATCTCATGGTTCTGGACCCCTGGGTATGGCGTCATGCCTCGTGTAGCAATTTCCCACATGGTTACACCAAAAGCCCACTGTGGACAATTTCAAAAGTAAAACATTATTTTCGATTATTGGGACCAGGCAAGTATTAAAAAAACATGGCAAGCATAAACCGCAAAAAATTGACTGGATTATTCGAAATAATTAAAACTTCTTCAAAATGTAAAATGTTCTTCGGATTTAAAACATTTAGATCACATCTCTATCATTTAAATACTATAAAAAGTCTTTGGTTTCTTAGTCTTAATGTTTGCTTGGCTTTTTATTAAGTGGGAAAATAATAAAAAGAAAACCAGGAAAGTTGTAAAGTAAACGTTTGACATTATCCCACAAATATCAGCAGCAAATTTACTCAGATGTTTAAGGCATCTGAAAATAGAGCTTTAAGTTAAAGGAACTGGAAGCTTCAACAATCAAAACAACTTTTTTTTTTTTAAGTTAGTTAGTTCTCCATTTAGTTGTTGCCTGATGGTTTTAATGAACCATTACAGGGGCAGAGCTACATCATACTTACAACATCACTCTTCACAGTGAACACTCTGTCTGCGAGACTTTCCAGTGCAATCCACTTTACGGGCATTTTAGATATCCTTCCCTGCCTGTAATAATCTCCGCTGTAGATCTTTTTTGATAACCCAAAATCAGCGACACAGACTGTCAGATCATCTCGCAGCCTGTAAAACATGCATGTGTTAGTGAGAAAAAAAAACAAAAAACAAACAAATCTCTTAGGTAAAGTTTTTTTTATTAAGCAAACGTCATAAACAAATAACAAAACCTGAACCCACATGCAGTTACGTGCCGCCAGATCGCGATGCAGAAAATTGCGACTGCTGAGATACTCCATACCCAAAGCAATGTCAACCATGAACCTCAGGAGATTCTGAGTGGGTAGGAACTGTCCAAAGAGGAGGGAATGGAGTTGATGTCAAAATAAAATGTGAAATAAAATGTGCATATGTTACATAATGGCTGTAATTTTACCATGGGGCTCTCTCCGTGGCGTGAGCGCAGCAGGAAGCTATGAAGATCTCCGTGTTTCATGAACGGGAGGATGACCATAGGTTTGGGAAAATGTCCGCATCCATTTTCTAAGCACACACCTTAGAGGGTCAAATTAACACAAAAATGTCAGATAAGAACAGATGACAGGGAGGCCAGAAGAGAGATTCGAAGAGGTCAATAGGTTAGTCATACCCAGCAGATTGATGACATTAGGATGGTGGAAATCTTTCATGCAGGCCGCCTCATTTAAAAACTCTTCAATTTCCCTTTGAGAGAAGCTTTC